CAGGCCCACCGTCGAGCGAGGGACAGGAGGCAGGAGACTAGAAGACAACCCGCCAACATGCATACTCCGCTTAGCGACCATCCTGATGACCCATTTCCGGATGATTGGATGCGAGTCCACTTGTCGTTTCCCTATTTAGAGTCACCTAAGAACAAAAGGTCGCGCAAGTGTAACAAGAGAAGTAGATTCGGTGTGGTCCGTCGAGGTTGGCAGAACGAGATATTCGCTCGAGAAATGGTCGTCGATCCGGCTAATTACACTTGGCAGAGAGTGCGACATGGCGAAGCCATCAGTCTTGATGAGAACCTAGTGATCGAGACACAAGATATGGTCGCGGCTAAAGGTAACGCGCGAAGCACGGTATATGGCCAAAGAACTCCACGGCGCTAGAGAAGGGGCCAGTAAACTCGAGGCCGAACTATCTCACGTCGATTTCACTGAAGGAGCTACACTACTTATCTCGCGAAAGTGGATAAAGTTCACCCCTTTCAACCACCCTCTTGCGAACGTTCAGCCACTTCGCCTGACCGTCTTTAATATAAGCTCAGACGGCTACTTATTCTTCGAGCTAATAGCGCGATACACAAAGTGCTACTACCTGTATTCTTATGTGTGTGGCGGTGGGCAGAGGCCATTTTACTAGTTCGTCTGAAGCTTTTGAAACCGCGCCGTTTGGAACGGTATCCAGGTCGAGGATCGTTCAGTACAGAGCTGAGAGCAACTTCTACCTTACCGATGGGGCTAGGCCCATGGCAAAAGACCGACATGGTGATCAACAGCTCCTCGAGCAGGTAATCCGCCCGACGAAAACAATTGGCAATGGCGAAAGGACCTGCAACAGGCTCCCCGACTTGCCGTTCGAGTTCAAAACACCTATCTTTCAGGTGGCTCGGGTGTAGCTTGTTTGGCAGTAAGAAGTCTGCCCTAAAATTCAATGCCCGTATGAGATCCGCCAAGCACTGTCGTTGTCGATATCCTCCATCCGTCGATACACCGATGGGGCTGCTCTACTTGGCCCATGTGGACCCTGTCTCTTTGTACCCTTGTGCTCTGCGCTTGGAGAGTCGACAACTAGCTAATCGACTATGTTTCTGTCGAAGCCTTCAATTGGGCATTTTGGGCCTGACGTATCCGCGTATCTGGAACTTGGGTCGAACTTTGAAATGGTTCCTGAGAGTGAGCCGCGCAGCTTATCGTCCACGACTTGCCAGTGAGTTGCTACTTTCTCTGACCATTTACGAAGCATGAAGTTGGCATCGATACTTGGCTCCTCGGACTGTGAGATGGTCGTTGTTGTGTCGGCAGGAATAGACCGGCGATGTCTTCTCCCATATCGCGTTGTCTATATCTAGTCGTTAAGTGAGAAAGACATCCTGACGACGCTCTCACCGAGCCTTTACGTATATGGTTGTTTCATGCAGCAAGCAAATGCTGCCGAACCCACCCCGTCAGATTCCAGTCGTGGCTTTTCGCAACCCTTCGTAACCTGCTGACCCGGCAGCCCCCACCACAGAGTATTCTGCCTGGGCCACGCAACTTACTGTCAAGCCGGAGCTTCATAAGCCTCGTGAGAAAGCCGAGAATACTCGCAACTCACCGCGAGAGAGAGAGAACATCCAAAAGTCTGTTTCGACCCTTCCGACGGAGTCCCGGGCGTCCCCAGACAGGGAAGGGTCCAGCCGTCAGTCAGCGCCTGTTGAACTCTCTGGCTTGGAATGGGCCACGATAGGTTTCAATTCGGCGACATGATAATTGCCGCGAGGGATTAACGCCCCACCGAGAACATTCCACTATGGTGGACTCAGAGAGGCCTTGGGCCTGCTTCCTTTGCCTTGGACGATGGTGAGAAATCGCTGGTGGCGTTGCCATATTCGACGCAGCGTCAGCATTGTCTGCTCCAGATCGAGCTGGAACCCGCATACCACAATGAGTCTGAGTGCAGAGAAAGCTGGTATACGTTGGGGGTCTTGGTGCAACGACCGTCCTCCGGTTCATGACCCTGTCTCTACCGAAGGCACGATGATGTGCAGCTGCTCAAGATCATGGCACACTCAAAACATCCTGCAGACGGCACTGCAGATCTTGACAAAAGTCACGCATCCCGTCACCAATGAGGACACCGAGAAGAAGTGTTCTAAACCGGAGAAACAACATATGTTTATTCTTTGGCGACAGCATTCACTGTTGATGTGGCCCTAGTTGGCTGGGAGACAAAAACATGCTTGAGCATGCATATGCAAGTTTTGACGGAGCGTCGAGTCGAAATGTTCGTCTCCTTCGTCTGATTGCATTGATGGTGGGCGGTTATTGTGCTGCCGTTAGCGTTGTGCTTCCTCAATGAAGGTAGTAAGGATGATACTGATACTTTTGCCTGTCTCCTTTGGACCAGAGGACGGTCGCGGAAGGACCACTCCAGACGGCTGGGTATGCATCGACTTCGTTACGCCGGCCAGCTCTTGTTCCTTTCAACCTCCACAGATGATATCTTGCCATCGACCATGGACCCGTATTGAGCAGGAATTGGATCAGTGAAGCCACCACGGACCTATGAATGCTCTGGAATTGGTGACAGGGAGAAGGGCACAAGCTATGCACAAAGTTGAGGTGCCCGACCATCCCTTCCGTTTGTATACCACAAGAGGGGGATGCCGCATGGCACCGGATAATCGTCTGCAGAATCATTTCTCCTAGTGTTGGGAGCATAGGTCTCCCACCCGAGGTGGAACTCACAACGACAAGAGCAAAAGCTTCCACGTTTTGACTACTCACTCATTCAACCCCAAGACGTACCTGAGCCCCTGGGCGATATCAGCCTTGTCATGTGACCATGAACAATCAGACTCTGGAGGTGTCCAATCTACGGCAGATCCAGCCAAGGCAATACCTAGCTTCCCGGGAAACCAAATGATGACCTAACCTGGACCAGGAGCGACTTAGGACGCAGGAATCTCTCGTCATGGACCCAACAGCCGCCCACGATAGTTCACCTCCCGAGCCGCCTTCTACAGACATCCAAGATCCTGAGTCATTGGAGAGGTTCAAGGAAAGCTATGTGCACCTTGCCACTTCTAGCAGACAGCTCCAAGTAGCCTGGCAAGAACCGAAATATTGCCGGTTGATCAAATCCGGAAGGCAGGAGGGGCAGAAGGCAAGGTGAAGATTCCTGAAGCTCTGGTACACTAACCGCACGACGAAGTCGAGGCCCTACGAGTTGATCGCAATGGGGCGTGACCCTACTGGACGAGTCTACGACCAGGTAACAGGATGATATAGACAGGCAGCCATGGAAAGAAACGCCCGTGCTTGAACAACTTTTCCACTATCGCATCGGCGCTTCTGATTCATGGATATATCAGGTGTATATGTAATTGCGTCCCTGCGCAACGAAGCTTTAATCGACAAATCCTGCATAGCTTCAGAAACGAGAAAACCCACTCTGGGAGAGAGATTGGCCCGCGCTATAACTCTACCACTGAGAGACTCTATTACACTGCACCATGGGAAGCTGGAGACAATGGAGAAGGCTCCGTTGTCGCTTCACGGAAGTGCTTTAATCTTAACTCCCCAACTCACTGATGAATTCACAACAGCCGCCTCACTTTCCTCTGCAGTACTACACGCCCGCGCCATCCGCGTCTCCGATGCAAGCCCCCGAAGTCCCTAAAGACCCGGCGCTTGTCCAAGCAAGAGCTTTAATACTCGCTGAGCAGGAAGCGAGTATACAGAGGTCCCTGGCACTGAGGCCGCAGCTTTAGCAAGGAGCGTAAGGGAGATACAAAAACGTGCAAACATCGGCACCGGCATCCCGTGCCAGGTGTCAGACGACGGTGACTTCGCTTTTGAGCGCCACGGCGGCGTCGATAGAGTCTTCCGTAGACTCGACGTAAAGCTAGTCAATCTAAACCCGGTTACTTGGTTCCTCGACGTGTACCTTGAGGACGGGCAGCAACATCGGCACTCGGAGTGCCCCATTCTATACGACATCACTATCTCAAACAGGGCATACGCGCCAGACTACTATATATTATGAGGGCCAGTGGCAGGTGGTAGACGGGCGAGTCATAGCCTGGAGACTGAAGCATAGGCATTAGTCCAAGAAGATGGCTCGTCCGTTGGGAGCCACCGGCAATAGCAACAAGCTTAGAGCACACTGGAACTGAGACAAGCATCCGATGAGATCAAACTATAGACGGGACGCAGATTTTGAGGTCATTCTCTGTCCATATCCTTGAACTGATGCCGGGCAGCTCGGCACGCGACAGCGGTCTCAAGCAACCCATCTTGGGAAGGACACCGGGCCTTCAAGCCGTGGTGTCACGTCTCTTGCACGGTTCCACCTGACCGTCGCCGTCTTCACGATACTTTAGGTGGAGAAATACTACCGAACCTACCATCGTGAGAGCCACAGCAACGTTGCAACGCTTGCCATGGCGTTGTGCTGCATCTTGGCAGATCTGGCAATGCGTTCTACCAACGATAAAGTAGCATTGAAACGAAAATCGTGCCGGAGGACGAGTTCGGTGGCTTTCAGCAGCGCCGCTGAAGAGCGCGCAAGCTGATGCAGTTGGACCTCGACTTTCCCGGATGGTGGAAAAGGGAATATACAAGTCTTCCCACGTGTGGCGGAATACCTTGTGGTGAGAAATACGGTTCCTCAATCGACATATGACTCCGACGTCTCGTTCGTGAAGTACCTTCGTTCTAGGCCCTCCCGGGGAGTCGATGACTCAGCCAAAGATTGGTGGCTAGTATCGCGAGATAGGTCTCACAGACTCATGTATCGTAACCGTGGCGTGGCGTCACTCAGATGATTATTGAACGGCGTCAGTAGCTATCTTCTGATTATGATGTATGACACCAGTGGAATGGACTTGTCTGTAATGGATGGTTGGGTGAGCCGGGAAGGACTGAGTGAACATAGGACCTCGAATACTGTTTCGTGCGGAGTGGGAGCTGCGCGCGCAAGCAGGTCAATGAAGTGACGGAGTCGCTTCCAACCATCACCGCCCTTCAGGATGGTCATGTAATTTGAGTGTGATGGTTATTCGATACGAGGGGTAGGGGCGGTCTTCTGCAATTCCAATCTTGGCCTCAACCGTCACATCATCCAAGATTAGTTGGTCTTGTGTGTTCCGAGAAGCAGACTGGGTTGGCATTGGCAGAATTCTTTGTGTTCCCAACTTTCCGGGCAATCTGCTGACACGGTTCTCGAAGCCGTGAGGCTCTAGGAGCTTCAGCTGTAAACCTGCTGTCCGCATCGAAGGTATAGAAGAACAGACAAGGTAGCAATAGGATAAGTCCTGCCCAGGTCGCCATTGCCAAATTGGATCGAAAAGGCGCAATGCCACGTAGCCTTCAATGGGCTCTCCCATAGTGATAAACTCATTGTGCGCCGCGTCCCAATTATCGCGCGGAGATGGTGCTTCCAGTATCCTGTCGAAGTTTTGTTCTACCGCCTTTATGTTGCCATCGGACTCGAAACGAATGGCGTGATGGCGGCAGGTACGCATTTGCCTTTCGATAGAGTTGGAGATTTTGGACACAATGTAAGCGTCTTCGGTCCTCCAGCGACGTCCGTGCAGGGTTTCGATATACAGAAGACCTGATGCTACGCATTCGGATAGGGGTAGCGAACATCTCACAAAAAGGCCGGGACCAATCTTTTGAAGAACCATTCCGCAAAGCAGCGGCTGAGAGGATTGATAGTGTTCCAGGTCCATGACATAATAGCGAGATTGGGGCTCCCCGAGTGTCTCTGCGATCACAAATCTAGCGTTCGCGAAGTGCACGCCGTTGTTAGTTAGTGCGAAGTCCCGTACGGAACTGGCAGTAAGATGTGACAGGAAAACGTCATCCGACTCAGAGAAATCCCTGGGTGCTGTGGCAAAAAGGTCGCGGCAAGGGTAATCGTGGTGATAGGCTCTACCGCGCAAATCTCCTGCCGACAAGTCCTCGGTGATGTCAGACGATGTCCTCGTAAAGTTGTAGAAGATCGAGAGATCCTTCGAGCGTTTGATGATCTCCTCCTGAAGCCGGATGAAAGCTTTCTCTCCCTCGCCATATAAAAGAGGCATGTTGACGTCGAATATGCCCAGCAAGCAGTAAGCCAGGTCTTCCGTCCTCGTCGTCACACGCCGAGACGCCCAAAACATTCTGCGAGCTACTGGAATCTCCGGTAGGACGGAGGAGTCTTTGAGGACCTCTTGGTCGATTCCAGTGATTGCACACACTGATGACTTCAGCTGAGTTTTAGTGCCAACGTACCCCCAATTCCGATTGTAGAAGCGTAATTTCTTGGGCGCAATGAGTTCCTGTAAAGTCCAGCCACGGGTATACCATCTGCAAGACTTCATCGCATTCCCAACATCAGATCCCGGCTCAAGATCGGCGAGAAAGACATAGCAGACTTCAGCGTCGCGATACCATCTAAACATTGAGTTGATGGCCTCGCTGAGCTCCGCACTGCTGGTTTTGTCAATGCAACAGGTATCGACCCAGGCATAGTTGATCTTGTGTCGGCGTGCCTTCTCACAAGTGGAATGAATCTTACTGTAACCCGCTTTCAATGTAGCAGGGTGTTCTGGATTGTGGCCTATGGCGGTCATCTCCTGAAAGTCTATTTCATCATCTTCGACCCATGTGTGAGACAAAATTGCATAGCCGGGAATAACTTCTCCCATAAAGACCCTCATCCGGAGGGTGGTGGTGTCGAGTAGCCTGATCGGCATCTTGTTTGGGTGAAAAGATGGAGCGGTTCTTGACTCGAACTGGCTAGGCGTAATACCAACACCGTGATATTGGCCGACCGTCCTCCTGGCTACGAAGATGCGAAAGGTTGCGTGACCGTGGTAAAGGAGTGGATAAAGCCGCCTGCGAGGCGGAAAGAAGGCAGCCAGGTGGAGAGGCAGTGACTTTTGAGGCTCATGAAAGTCCAAGTCTTGTGGCGCTTCAATAGCCCCTCGTGGGGCATATGAGCCAATCGGATATGTCCCTTGAGACGACAGTCGGGCTCGCCCACGGGATACCTGTTTGAGGACTTCCTTTGGCAAGCCAGACTGGAATTCAAGGCTGGAAGCCTGTCAGAGCCGGTGACTCTGCGTTGACCGAGGCCGAGCAGTGATTACTTCATCTGGTTCCTCTATGTTGACCGTTGACTGACGAAGATCGTCTAAATATAGAACCTGCTGTGACAAACACAGCGACATTCGCATGCAAGGTGCGACCTGTTCCCGGGGTAGGGACGACTGCATTGTTGTTGGAGCTGGCTTTTCACTGCATGATATGCCTACAACAATACATAAAGAGTGCTGTCCAAATCACGTCAGCCTCTGCCCCGTGATATTCCACTCCACCTTGCTGATGCCATTATTGCCCATAAGCCACAAGGTAGTGAGGTTTTCACCCGTCCAGGCGAAGTTCTGCACAGTATAATTCGTCTGGATCCGAACAAGAAGCTGGCCGACATCATCGAGCACATCGACGCCTTTTCCGGCGCCTGTCAGCACAAGACCTTCCTGGGACACCTTCAGCCCGTCTGGAATCCAGTCTTGCGAAAGGTAGAAGCTACGTTTGTTCGACACTCGGGTGCCATTGTGTGTGACATCGAAAGCATAGACAGCTCGCTTTCCCGTAGTGTTGAATGTGGTGCCCTGACTGCCGAGCCTTGGGTCAATTGGCCCGCTTACAGCACCCGTGTCTGAAATGTAGAGAGTATTTCCATCCGGAGTGAAAGCAATACCGTTTGGCTGCTGTAGGGTATCGTCGATGAGAAAGGTGGCACCAGTCTCAGGGTCAAAGCGGTAGCTTGCGGTGCCCAACTGTGGCGCTGTGTCGGTCAATGCGTTAAACCAGCTGTATTGAGGATCAGTGAAGAAAATATCCTTGGTGATAGGATGAATAGCAATGTCGTCAATGTTGTTGAAGTAGTACCCAAAGTAGTTGTTCAGGAGCACCGTCGAACGATTGGTGGCAGGGTCGACTGTTCGAATGGAGACTCTTTGCTCCCCACCTCCAATACTATTATTGCCGCCGCTGGCACCGAAGACGATGAGACCATTGCGGAAACTGCCGCCGTTCGGAGCGTAGATAGGAGGATCTGGGATGTATTCGCTCAATGTCGGTGGATCCTCGTTTAGGTTAACCACGAGCTGCGGTAAAGTCCCAGCAGGGGGTGCCAATTGCGAAATGAATAGCAAATTCTGTTCCGGGGCATAGACCGGGGCTTCATGCACAGCTGCCGATACCGAGAAGACAAATTCATAGCTTGGATTACTACCAAGGTATTGCAGGCCACGTTGTCGGTCGAACACCACAAAATCCGCGGTCTCGAGGAGGTCAAATGTGGAAGCATTGCCAACTGTGGTATTTCGATAGTCAAAGTCGGCGGCATTGCTCGAAATCGATCGGTTGAAGTGGTATGGCAACACGGCGCCCTGCTAATGGTGAGCTGCCATCCCCTGAGCAACATTGGGGCCCGCGAACATATTTGTTTACGCAAACCACGGCTCCATTGAAACCACAGTCCTCCACGATCGGTGTGGTGACCCCAGACGGCTGAACCTGACCCAAAACCGTGGCCGCCGACAACAGCGATACAAGTGCAACGAGTTTGATCATCATGGAATGTCTGATCCGCGAGGATGGTAGCTTTCTGGCAGCCGATTGAAGCTGGCCAAAAGTGCCACCGTCACCCTTTCATAGTCCCGTCTGTGGGGTATACCAGCTTCTGAACCCTCGGACATTCCCCAGAGCGTGCGGAGAACAGCATATCCTGTGAGGCGTCATAGCCGGCTTGAAGGATTGCTAGCAGTAGATCTGACGTTCTGTACTCGTGTTCCTGGAACGTCAGGCCAGGGACGTGGCGGATCTGCAATGCATTCTCCGTGGGCGGGAGCCTAAACAGCAATTGGCTAGTCTTAGCACAAAATCTGCGGGGAAGCTTGAAAGGGTAGCATCGGGGTACAACTGCCGCTCGGTGTTGTGCCGTTCAACGCCGACTTCACAGGTTGAGATTGAAAACAGGTGAGATTCTTCCTTGTGAGATCTCAAGAAACGGGAAAGACAGGTTCCGAATCAGTGCCGTGCTTGCAGGCCTGTAGCGTCTTCGATGCCGGCATTTGAGGTGGAAGTTGGGTTGAGTGCCTCTCCCGCAATATTGGCGACGACTTTGGCTTTGGCTTTCGCCTTTGCAATCCGATCATCGAATTCCGTTACAGCTTCGTCTGAGTTGTCTTTGGCGATAGAGGAGGCTTCAGAAGTGGCGTGCAAGCTTTCGACGTGCCTTTGCAGTCGGCTACTAACAGACAGTTGGGGAAGAGCTCGGACGATGCCTCCCAGTCGCGACAGATCAGAGGGGGCTGAGATCGGAGATCGCAGTGGCTCGTCTGGTTGCGCAGCTTGAGATCTCCCTTGCCATAGTAAAGCGCGTCCATGGAGCTTGCCGAGGTCCAGGGCTTTTTCATAGCCCTTTTCGACCCCGAAGACTTTGCCCTCGATCATGCCAGCATACGTGCTATCGGATACTCCAGCGTTATAGCCTTCTTCATAATAGTCATTCTCAAGATCCAGAAGGTCGTCGAACGGGTCGGTTGCCATGGTATATGACCCCAACCCCTGTGTTTTTCGCAAGGAGATGTTTGAGTTGGAGATTGGGAAATGTCTGACCTGATTGTTCGCAAGCAGTAATCTACACTTCAGAACAGGGTGAAGGCTGGTGAAAGGGCAGTGAAACAACGCCGAGCAAAATCTCAGAAAAGAGGCTGAAAAATAAGCTTGAATTTTAGCGCCTCGGCGTTTGGCTGCGGGGAGATTTGTGACTCCTTTGCAAGCCGCTTTTGATATGTCCTAAGCCTGAGTCGCGCCCTACACATTTGACTCGGCAGGAAAACACCTGTGCTTGCAAGTTCTCAGTCTAAGCCTTCATCGTCTTCGCGATTCCCTCATCGACAATTACGAGACCGCCTCCCATGGACTCCGAGAAAATCCTGCCGCAAGATGGCAAGCGGAATATCCTCGTAACATCTGCTTTACCATATGTCAACAATGTAAGCGGTGCTCAAGGTTGTGCGTATTTCTGCAACTGACTTCGTCTGTCTTGTCAGGTTCCTCACTTGGGAAATATCGTCGGCAGTGTGCTTAGTGCCGATGTCTTTTCGCGATACAATAAGGCCCGTGGCCGGCCGACACTGTTCGTCTGCGGAACCGACGAGTACGGCACGGCCACCGAGACAAAAGCCCTAGAAGAAGGAGTTACTCCAGAAGAGCTGTGCGCAAAGTACAACAAGATCCATGCCGAGATTTACGAATGGTTTGAGCTGGGCTTCGATATCTTCGGTCGGACACCCACAAGGCAACACACTGAAATCTCACAAGATATTTTCTTGAAGCTCCACAGGAATGGCCACCTGACAGAACACACCAACAGTCAGCCATTCTGCGAAAAGCATGGGAAATTCTTGGCCGATCGTTTTGTCGAAGGCACGTGCCCCAAATGCGGCTACGACGATGCACGTGGTGACCAATGCGACAAGTGCGGCAGCCTGTTAGATCCTTTGGACTTGATCAATCCTCGGTGCAAAGTCGATGGCGCGACCCCTGTCACGAAAGAGACCAAGCACACCTACCTGCGCTTGGATGAGCTGCAACCGCGAGTCGAAGAGTGGTCGAAGCAGTCGATCGAAAAGGGCAGATGGTCTCGGAGTGCCAAAGTCATCACTGAGTCATGGCTGAAACAAGGTCTGAAAGAACGAGGCATCACTCGAGACTTGGCGTGGGGCGTGCCTGTGCCTCTCCCCGGCTACGAGCACAAGGTCTTCTACGTCTGGTTCGAGGCCTGCATCGGATACCCATCAATCACTGCAAATTATACCGAAGAGTGGCAGAAGTGGTGGAAGAATCCAGAGAATGTCCAGTTATATCAGTTCATGGGTAAGGACAATGTACCCTTCCATTCAGTTGTGTTCCCGGCCTGTCAGATCGGCACCAACGAGGAGTGGACCAAACTGCATCATCTGTCATCCACCGAGTACCTCAATTACGAGAACGGCAAATTCAGCAAGAGCCGCGGCGTGGGTGTGTTTGGAAACAACGCAAAGGAGACTGGTGTCCCTCCCGACGTCTGGAGATATTATCTGCTCAAGAACAGACCAGAGTCAGGTGATACTCAATTCGAGTGGCGGTCGTTCATCGATGGGAACAACTCGGAGCTCCTGGCCAAGCTGGGCAACTTTGCCAACCGAGTCATCAAGCTCGTCAACTCACCCAAGGCCTACGCCGGGGTCATCCCAGAGTTCGACCCCAACAATCTCCCCGCGTCGTTTAAAGAGCATCTCGCCGAAATCACCGAACTCTTGAAGCAATACCTCACAGAGATGGAGGCCGTGCATCTTCGAAATGGACTGCTCGTCGCCATGAAGATTGCAGAAGCTGGTAATGGCTTGATTCAAGCCCACCGGCTCGACAACGCACTTATTGCAAGTGATCCTGCTCTTGCAGCTGCCGTCGTGGGAACGGTTATCAACCTCATTTACCTCTGCTCGGCCATCTTCGAGCCCTATCTTCCGGCAACTGGAGCCTCAATACGCAAACAACTCGAGCTTGGTTTTCTGCAAATCCCGTCTGAGGAGGACATTGAAAATGGTTGGCTACCCACATACATCAAGCCAGGCCACAAGATCGGCAAGGCGGAATATTTGTTCTCCAAAATTGATGAAAAGAAGGCGGACGAATGGAGGGATTATTTTGGAGGAAACCAGGCGGAGCGCGAGAAAAAGAAGAAGGAAGAAGAAGCAGTTGCGGCGAAGAAAGCTGCCCAGAAAGAGAAGACCAAGGCAAAGAAGGCGGCTCAGAAAGCTGCGGCTGCGGCCGGGGGTGCAGGAGTCGAACAGAGTGCGAAAGGCGGGCAGGAAGGAAAGGCACTGGCTAACGGTGTGCCTGATGTCGGAGAGGATGCGGCAGTCGAGAAGGTCGTCGATGGTGTCGCACAGGTGACGATCCCGACGTCTTGAATGGCCCGCGTGATGTTAGTTTTTGGGTCCAAGGTCTAACGAAGAAATCGATGTCGTGATGCTATGAGATGTGTAACGATAGAGTGAACTGAAGAGATGCCGGCGGCACTTCAACGGCCAGTGCGGTCTAAGGATACAACAGCTTACGGTAGTGTTGTTGCGCACAGTAGTAGAGAAAAGAAAGACTGCGAGAACTGCAGCCAGCTCCGAGATCTACGCTTGCAACACGACTGAGGCTCTTCCAGAACGCACCACATCCCGTACATCATGCTTTAGCTATTTACTTTATACCTATTTGTCTTCTCCAGCCGACAGAGGCCAAGCATAGCCCTAAGTTAGGTACTAATTTAGTTGAAGGCCCAAGAGGACATAAGCGCAGAGAGGAAGTCCCTCTGCCAGTACTGATAACTGTGAAATCCAGTTTCGTCTACTGTAACAACGAATACCACGTCACAATATATTCTCCAAGAATGGTCGAGCCTCAGCCGCAGAGAGAATTGTTTGCATCTCCGTACATCACCTTATCAATATGCCGGATCATGTGCCTGGGTCGGTGAATTACTGCTCGGGAATCTACGAAATCAGCCGATACGTTCCCCCAAAGGACTTCAGCTTCGAGGTGCTCGAGAACAACCTCTCCACGGTGATGAGAATATTCTCATCGTGTTCTAGGACGTGTGGCTGCTGTACAAGCTCTACAAGCGCTCTGTCCTCTTGCGCGCCCTCATATACATACGCCGGCGATGATTGTGGAGTCTAATTGTCCGAAATGCCTGTCGGGTGGAAATCAACTTCAGGGGCGAAAACGCCGCAGATACGCTCCGTGATCAAATGATGCGGGCAATCCTAATTACAGCGATCAGGATTTGGTGTGATACCCTTCCTGTCACTCAATGGGGACGTTCACTAGATCAAGGTGAGCGAATGCTACCCTCACTCGGCCAGTCGTCAAGCCCAAGGATCGGGTAGTAGGTGTTGTACCTCTCCCGTAAGGCTTGCGCAGTCCGACGCGCACTACTCACCCACACAGGCGCGCCTCGCCTCGATAGTTCTCAGAGTCAGTAATCGCATTGAGATGAACCCCACAGTCCTCCCTGTCAGAAGATCAATCACGGCATCCACGACGAGAAGCCCAAGATACGTGACATCGCCGAGACTGCCACAGTCCCCGATCAGAGTCTCGTCAGGCTTATCAAAGTCCTTGTCGGCAACTCGAGTAAGGCTGCCGGAGAAGCCTTTAGTGCGGCCAAGTCCAACTATTGTTGAGAGAGCTTCATGCCCGGTGTTGGTGCAACCTCATTCTCTACAAGCTATTGGCAATCAATCGCTGCAGCGACCTCAACTCGGACAAAGCATTGCGGTCGATTGCGTCGTATCTCGGCGCGAGGCCGATCCTCAGACTCGGGAACTTTCTACTCAGAGGGCGAACTGGGGCCAGCATGAATCGCCTATCATCCAGACCAGAGATGAACCGACGAAGAATAAGGCTAATGCGACCAACAAGCCTACAACTGAAAATGTCGAAACGAAGCCGAAGCGGGGTGGAGAACCGCGCGAGATCTGGCGCCTCCTCAGGATAGCCCAACCGGAAATCCCAGCTATGAGTTTCGCCTTCTTCCTGCTCTTCATCAGTAGCGGGATCACCATGGCTGTACCCTTCAGCATCGGCAAGATCCTCGACTCAGCGACACGAGTGGACGGCACAGTCTTTGGAATGCAGCTGGAACATTTCTGTGTGGCCTTTTTGGCCATTCTGGCTGGGGGTGCGTGCGCCAGTTGCGGACAGATGGCCCTTCTCAAGATCATTGGCGAGCGTATCATCACCAAGCTCCGGAGCTCCCTGTACAAGCACACGTACGTGCAGAGTGCAGAGTTCTTCGATACTCACCGGGTCGGAGATCTGCTCAGCAGACTCGGCAACGACACCACCATGGTCGGAAGATCGATCACGGACAACCTATCCGACGGTCTGCGTTCACTCGCGTTTGCTACCACAGGGATGGGGATGATGACCTACATCAGCTACAAGCTCGTCGGTGTCCTGGCTCTCGCCTTCCCACCACTGGCAGCAGGGGCATTTCTCTACGGCCGTGCAGTCCGGGACTTGTCGCGTCGCATCCAAACAAACTTGGGCACGTTGACCAGAATAGCCGAAGAGCGGTTAGGAAATGTACGAACGAGCCAGACGTTCACGGGTGAGCGCCAAGAGGTCCGCCGATACAATCATCAAACGCGCGAGATCTTTAACCTGGCGAAACGGGAGGCGGTCATCTCGGCGGCCTTCTTCTCCACCTCGAGCTTCCTCGGGAATGCCACGTTCCTCGCATTACTTTACGTAGGGAACAGCATGGTCAGGTCTGGTTCCATCACCGTTGGAGATCTCACGACCTTTGTCATGTATACGGGCGTCGCTGGGGGTAGCCTTTTTGGACTATCAGCCGCATACTCGGACCTGATGAAGGGCATGGGAGCAGCCAGCAGGCTATTCGAGCTACAAGACCATCACCCGACCATCAGCCCGACGAAGGGGATGGCGGTGGAATCAGCACGTGGAACAATCCAATTCCACGACGTTGGCTTCGCATACCCGACTCGACCATCGACCCCGGCCTTCGATGGGTTATCTCTGAAGATCGGGCCAGGAAGTAACGTGGCTATAGTCGCTCCTTCAGGAGCTGGCAAGTCAACGGTGGCGAGCTTGCTCATGCGATTCTACGCGCTCGGTCGCGGAGCCATCACGATCAACGGCCACGACATCAGCAAGATGAATGCCAGGCAATGGCGCAGAAGAATCGGTCTGGTCGGGCAAGAGCCAGTCTTGTTTTCGGGCTCGATCGCCGAGAATGTTGCGTATGGAAAGACTGAGGCCACGAAGAGCAAGATTTGGGAAGCGTTGCGTCTGGCGAATTGTCACTTTGTCCACGACTTTGTGAGTTTGGCCGTTCCGAATGACCCTCGTGATAGCATACTGACTTGTTGGGTTTTAGCCTAATGGTGTAGACACGCTGGTGGGCGCACGTGGGGCGCAGCTGTCCGGTGGCCAGAAGCAACGCATTGCCATTGCTCGCGCTCTGCTCAAAGACCCTGACATCTTGATTCTGGACGAAGCCACTTCCGCGCTGGACGTCGAATCCGAGAAGCTCGTCAACCAAGCGTTGGAGCCACTTCGCCGAGGACAAAGTACCATCATCACCATCACTCATCGTCTCTCCACCATTCCACGCAGCGACACAATCATATGTCTTGGTGCCGACGGCAGAGTCGCACAGACGGGCACATACCATCAACTAATGGCTGACAAGGAAGGCGTTTTTGCAAAACTGGTGAAGCAGCAGATGAGTGAAAGGTAGAGTTCGTCATTGACAAGTAGAGCTGGAGGAGTCCAAAGGCTGCGTGGTCTTATCTTCCCTGGGGCTGTATATCTGTCAAAATAGAATGCATTGCCCTAGCGTGTGGGTCAAACAGTGGGATTTATGGGGTTACTGCTATCTGCTGTCGAACACTGCTGGACTATTCATGGGATCAGCGAGTATGCCAGCCATACAATCAAGAACTAACTATAGGTTCGCCATAATACCCGGTCGAATCGATTCTAACTTCTCAACGAGCTCGTCCCAGACCCGCTCTTGTGCCAATGCCCCTTCCGCACTCAGGACGAAATCGCTGGGAAGAGCGATTCTGCAATCCGAGAGATACTGGCCGTGAGACTCCGGGCCGGCCGAAGCAGCATGGACGAGCGTTCTGCTTCCGACTTCAGTGCTGCGGGCCAAAACAGCCTTGATGATGACCATGGCGAAACCAAGGTGTCGAGCGAGCTCGCTTGCAAGGAGTTAGCCAGAGAGCAGAGAGACCACTGTGGATATGGTTTGAGATAATACTCACGAGTGGCAGAGACCAGGATTCACGCAGTTCACAGTGACAGGGTATGAGCAGGAAGGATACCGCATCGCGAATGCTCGGACACAAAACACCCCGAGCAGCTTCGACACAGGATACCGCTCGGTCATGTTGGCCTGGCCCTTGTCGGCCAGCGTATTGAGGATTTGCCCCTTGGGCGCGGCCTTCTCGTGGAAATTGGTATGCCCATGCACTTCTGAAGACGTGATGGTCAATGTGGGCCTCGTGTTGAATTTGTGGGCTGTCTCTTTGAGCTTCGGCAGGACGAGCAGAACTAGGAGGAAGGTACTGATGAAGTTGACAGTGACCATCTCCTCGTTGTCGGCGACAGTGTTGAATGTCATCGTGGCAACACCCGCGTTGGCGAGGAAGATGTCGATTCGATCGAGCTCCTCCTTTGCTCGTTCGACGAAACCTTCGATGCTCTTGTAGTCGCCCATGTCTAATGGCCATACTTGAACCGTCCCTTTGGATCGACCCGTGGTTTTGATGATGTCGTCGGCAGCAGCTTGGCCCTTTTCGACATTGCGCACCGCCAGAATGATCCTCGATGCTCCTTGTCGCACAAAATGGCGGGCTGCTTCTTTTCCTAATCCGACATTGCTGCCGGTGACGACCACGGTCTTACCAAAATGAAATTGACTGGGGGTGGGAAGAGACTGGCACAGCTGGCTGTAGAGAAAGCCCATTGTTCCACAGGGCAGGATAGAGAAAGTCTCACTCGATGTGTCGTATGAGATGACAGGGAGTCAAGTGGTGGTAGCTGGAGAAGAGTCAAATGCCGCCGAAGACCTAAGTCGTCTTTCATTACAGACGATGAACCACCGACTCCGTGATCTGCAAAGCCTTATGGCCGAGTGGAAGTAGCCCAGCCGAGCTCACCGTCCGATCAACGCGTGTTGTTACAAATCGCCCGAGCTCCGAACCCTTGAGATGTATCCATCCTTCCGAGAATGCATCGGCTAAATCAGCCGTCGTCCGGTGCACCCATACAACAAGCTGCAGGACCCTGGTACTATATACTCTTCTTCAGGCAGTCACTGGGACGCGACATTCGGCGACAGGGAATGACCAAGTGGACTCACCCTCTCAACCGGATTTACCTCACCAATGGCACCCCCTTCATCAATCACCTCTTACGCCGTCCTAGGCTCGACCGGCAACTGCGGCTCTGCCCTGGTTCAGAATCTCCTCGAGCTACGGAATGTGAAAGTCAACGCCTACTGCCGCCAGCGCAGCAAACTCTATCGACTCATCCCCGCCACCATCGATAACAAAAGAGTCGAGGTGTTCGAGGGCTCCATCACCGATGTCGACCTCATCAGCGACTGCATCCGTGATTGCAAAACCGTCTTCATGGTGGTGACAACGAACGACAATATCCCCGGATGTCGTGTCAGCGAAGACCTCGCGCACTCGGTGATCGCTGCGCTGGAGAAGAGGAAGAAGACGGGCCCGCCAGGACTGGTCATGCCGAAGCTGGTCTTACTTTCGTCTGCCACCATCGACGACCACCTGGCGCGCAGAATGCCGTGGTGGTTCCGACCAGTCATGCTGACTGCCGCGTCCTACCTGTATGATGACCTACGACGGACCGAAGAGTTCCTGCGCGCCCAGTCGGATTGGGTTTCGACCGTCTTCATCAAGCCCGGCGGACTGTCCATCGATGTCAGGAGAGGCCACAAGCTCAGCCTGGACGAAGAGGATACCTTCATCTCGTACTACGATCTCGCGGGGGCCATGATGGAAGCAGCAGACGATCCCGAGGGACGGTACGATATGAAGAACGTGGGAGTGAAGAATGCAGGAAAGGGTGCCAAGTTTCCGTCGGGCACGCCGCGGACAATCTTGATGGGACTGCTGCGGCATTATTTCCCGTCTTTGCACCCTTACCTGCCTTCTGGTGGACCGCAATGATTCAGAAGGGCGGAATAGAGGGAAACTGAAATTGCTTGTGTCTATCTATGTAGTATTGATGAAGTCGCTCGTCCATAGCTATCTCTTCAAGAATACAAAGTGTTTTCACTGCGTGTGGATCATCTTGCCACGTACTAGCGAAATAATGTGTGATTCGAACGACACACATGATAGAACTGTGATGCGGACACACGCCCGTCAAGGCCGAAGTCGAATTTCTCGGAGCCGTAGACCCGAGCATCGGGGCTTATCGTGTGGGGCGTTCAGTCGGAGATGATCCATCCGTACGGGCAATTTACCTCATTCAGGCAATAATAATATCCCGAGCCTCGTCTCCTAGAGAGCAAAAGGCAATGACTTGGCAAGGTAGCCACAGATGCCCTCCGCAGGTCGTCGCAAGACTCAATACTTGCGCACTTCCCCAGCATCCGGTCCCCTTGGTCACGCCGTGAAGGGTTATTCTTCTCAACAGGTCACCAAAATCAGCAGCGGCGGTCATTGTTCAGCCTCAGAATATGGGCTCCATCGCCGAGCCAACAGTTCCAGAGCCAGAGGCAGCGTTGATGAAGAACAAATACCTCTGTCTCACCATCTGCGGCTACCGCAAGCCGGGCATGAGCGAGCAAGACTATCGCAATCACATGGTCAATGTCTCGGCGCCCCTGACCAAGGGACTTATGGTCAAATATGGAGTCAAGCGGTGGACGCAGGTCAGTACAACACATGCTTATCTAGTGGAATCACCGAACCCTCTATTCTATTGTTCATGGCCATGTCCATGCTATGCTCCGTTATGCTATGTTATGCTATTGCCTATTCCCCTTTATTTCTCTTCGCGGGCTGATCTTCTGTGGTTGTCACTCAGATCCACAACCAAAGCGCCACGCGTGCTCTGATGAGCCAATTGTTCGACCACCAAATGGCGAATGTGGCCGACTTTGACTGCTTCAGTCAGGTCGTCTTCGAGAGCATTGAGGATTACAAGCGCATGAAGCAAGATCCTTGGTACAAGGAGCATTTGGTTGGTGATCATGAGAAATTCGCCGACACGAAACGAAGCATGTGAGTGCACCCTCTTGGAGAAGTGGTCGACTCACTGACTGCATGGCTTGTGTGACAGGATGACGATAGGTTGGGTTGAGGAGTTCGTCAGGGATGGAGAAGTGGTTGATGGGTTTGGGAAATGAAGACCCTTCCAAATGTGTGAGACTATTTGCATCCGCGGATAGCGTTCATCTGAGACACGAAGTATTTCAGGAGTTGTTGGACGTTCCGCAGGTTTACGGATGGTCATATATCAACGGAAATATCTCGTCTGTATGAGCACCCGCGAGGGTATTTACATGGGGTTTGAACGCCTCTTGTATGCCCCTAAGACCACAAGACTAAAATGCAGGAGACGATGATTCAAGTTTTGTTCTTGCGTCGGTTTGGCTCTGTGATGAGGCGGCGAGGTCGGTGATTGCCTTGAATTGTACCATTACCTATTGGTGCCTGTGATCAACTATTCCGCGCAGATTCCAAGAGTACATCCAGAGAGGTGGGCAGAAACATCACGACGACGTTTTAACTTGTTGCTTCATTCAGATATGGCATCCCCGACTACCGAAAACGCCGAGAAACAAGGAACGGAATGAGCGGTTCTTCATTAAACCTTCACCTCGTCTCTGACCTTGGCCCACATAGGCTCGAAACCAGCACCCCAAACCCACTTCTTCTCACCCTCGACGTACATGACGGTGGAGTCGTAACAAAGCTGTGCAACCTTCAGCCACAAGTCGCCTTTGATAGGGAGGCTGCTGGCATGGGACTGCTCAAAGGGCGCGGCCACTTCTTGGCCGTTCTTGATGGCACGGACAAATTTGGCCACATGCCCATCATCGTGATGTCGGTTCAAGGCCTGATAGAGCTGGGGCCAACCCATGCCTTTGCTCAACGTGGGCTCGTAATCGACGATGAACTCATGGCGTAGCTCGGGCGCTGCGCTGGCTGCATACCACACCAAGTCTAGGCGGGCCTTCCATTCAACCATGCGAGCCTTGTCTGCGATAGGAATCCAGGACTGGCGGGCGAGGACTGTAACAAAGATTGAACTGGTCACGGCATGCATCAGGAAGAAGTCAATCTTGCGCTCTTTGCCTGGCTTGTGGCTCGCGGCGCACGACCATGCCGCACAGCTGATCATTTCGGCCGTGGCGCGCTCCACGTCTTCTTCGGTGGGATCAACCTGGAACTGTGCCGCCACGCGCACGATCTCGTCCATGGCGCGGCCAAGAACACCGTCACGCACCTTCCATGGTCCATCGGGCATGCGAGGAGCGGTACGAATAACGTCGTTGGCGCGCGTTTGGCGGTACATATCCATGAGAGGCTGACGTGCCACAGAACCTGCCTGGGCAAGCTTCTCGGCCTTCTGAAAGAAGACGTCAATGTACATCGGGTCGTGGCTGGCGGTTTGGGCCAGTCCTTCGGCCACGAGACCTGACAACCCAAACTCGACGCCAAATCCCAGGTGAATGAAGGGATGGTAGAGACCCTCGAAAAGCTGGGCCATCATCAAGTCACTTAGTGGCGTCCGCTTGAAGCAGTGCTCCAGGACGACTGCCTGCCAATCGCCTCCTTTCGCAGCAATCTCCTGTTCGAAGAATGCTAGGAAATTGGGGTACTGGTCGAGGATGTGCATGCGTTCGCGAAACTTGAGTGGATCGCTCATTTCCTGAACGGTCGGGAGGGAGACCGGCGGCATAGGACGTTGAATGGATTCACCGTCATCGTACGCCCTATGAAGCTCCTGCGGACCGCCACCCATGGCGAATGTGCTGAGGATAGCGTGTGGGATGTGGTTGTGCCCAGCCACGTCGCGGAAGTACATATGCCACTTCTCATGGTTCTTCTGCAATAGTTGGGCCACTATATCCACAGAGCCAGCAGGGTTGGCATCGATCCGAGCCAAACCCAGTGTATCATCGAAAGCCGCCGGCTGAAGCCTGATCGTATTTGGCGGAGCGTTGTCATCTTGGACGAAACCTTTCCCACTGAGCCCGGCTGCTGCGTACAGAACTTCAGTTGTGGATGATTCAATAAGAGAACCCATCGTGGATACTGCAGTGAGGATACAGACTGCATCTCAGTTGCAATGCTCCAGGGTGTGCGATGGTTTTGAAGAAAGGGTGGAACTGCGCTCTATCGGGTCATTTCCATCGAGAGAATCACCCGAGTGCCGCCCACGTCTACCCAACAATCCGCGACGGTCACATGGAACAGACCGATGCTATTGTGCTACATATATGTCCCATGGTGAGAACTATGAGAAAGAAATCGGTCGTCGACTTCCGCACTCTCACGTCGAGGCAACATGGCAACTTCGCCAGCAGTCCAAGCTGCCACTCTCAACAAATTCATCGAAGCATGGAGAGACCAAGACGTTGAAGGCACCGTGGCGCTCTGGTCAGATGATTTCTCGCAAACACTCCTCCCGTCATCCCTGGGTATGCCACCGAAACCGAGGGAGACTGCCGAAATTGTCTACAGCAGACTGACACAGAGTCTGACCAATTGGAAGGTTTGCTACCACTTTCCGTATCCAAGAGAGAGAAGCTGATGCACTCGATAGCTGGATGTGAAAGAAATCGTGCATGACGCTGCTCAGGGTACGGCTGCAGTGTACGCCACGTCTCTGGCGGACTTGCCCATGCCAGGCGAGAAATGGACGATGGATTACGCCGTCTTCATGTCGTTCGCGGAGGGTGGAACCAAGATCAGCCGGCTGAATGAGATGGTAGATACTTCAAACTTTCAGCAGCTCTTCCCCAAGCTGCAGAAGTACCTCATGGAGAAGAGCGCAGTGAATGGGACCAAGTAGCTACAATATTGCACTCCTGAAGCCTTGTCTCTGCCGGCTTTCGCCTCCACTGAAAGTGATGTGCCTTGTCTATGCTCCTTTTGTACTCGTCCAGTTCTAGACTATTGCGAGGCGTGCAACCGGACAATGTCATATCAAGATCACCGCACTTGGCGCAGGGTTAGATCGATCTCGGATGGAAAGAATAAGGCATCAGGAGGATTCGGACCTTTGGCTTGAATTGTCCCGGTTTGTCTCATGTCCAAATCCGACAAGACAATCTAATACAATATCCTTCCTTTGCAATCGACCTTGCCTCCCGTGCGTGTCGTCGTCGCAAAACACTCGAGACTGTGTTAACTGATACCAGAAGATGGTTGACACCAACACCTACGCGATCTTGGGTGCTACGGGTAATTGCGGCACTGCCTTGATCGACAACCTTCTGAGGCGGTCAGATGCCGTCGTGCATGCTTATTGCCGCTCCCGCACCAAGCTCTTGCGATCAGTGCCCGATCTGAAAGAAGATGGCAAGGTCAAAATCTTTGAAGGCAGCATTCAGGACGTGGAGCTGGTGGCCTCTTGTGTCTACAACTGTCGAGCGGTGTTTCTGGTTATTTCAACGAACGACAACATCCCGGGATGTCGGATGGCTCAGGACACCGCCACGACTGTCATCGATGCTCTCAAACTGCTCCGAAAACGAGAAATGGGCCGCCACAACGGCGGCGATCTCAACCAAGGTCCGATGACAATGCCGAAGCTGATCCTCCTCTCGTCGTCAACTATCGACAGTCACTTTTCTCGCCATATGCCATATCTATTACGATCCGTTCTCCTTTGCTCGGCATCTCATGTCTACCGAGACGTGGAAGAAGCGGAAAAGCTCATCCGTGCCGAAGACAAATGGATTACAGGAATCTACATGAAGCCGGGCGCATTATCGGTTGACAAGCAACGAGGCCACGCTGTGAGCTTGACCGATCAGGACGGCCCGGTGTCGTATCTTGATTTGGCAGCTGCAATGATTGAGGCGGTGGATGATGAGGGTGGACGCTACGACGGGCAGAACATCAGCGTGGTGAATACTAATGGCAGTGCCAAATTTCCCACTGGCACTCCAATGTGTATCTTGATGGGACTTTTGAGACACTTTTTCCCCACCCTACATGATTACTTACCGGGGAATTTAGGGCCTCGATAGCTGAGCGTTCATTCCTGACCTTGACGCTGTTGACCGAATGAGTATGGATTAAACTGGTGGTCAATGTGAAGCAAGGCAATAGACTAGTATAGCTACTAGAATCTTGACCATGATGAGCTTCGTCGTCCAGAGCGCCTACCACACACGATGAGCTGTGTGGTGTGACTTGCAAGGCACAAAATTCCGTCCCAGCATTGCCCGACACAACTCTCCCGACTCTCTTCGGAGCATAGTTTCTCTACTTGGCGTGCATCGGAATCGGCCTTATGCAGCCCCTGCGGTCGCCGGGGGTAGTGATGCCAGTAGTATATCCTCCGGACTGGTTCGTCTTATCTCCCGATGAGCCAGGTACTCGTACAAATCGTCCACATCGACGCAAAGCTCACTCCCAGACAAGTGTTTTTTAGTTAGTTCAGTCCATTCTCTTTCGTCCTCCAGTAGCACAACATGACATCTAAAGCTGAGATACAAGCCAATACCGTCCAGCGCTTCATCGAAGGTTGGCGGAAATACACACCCGAGGCATTCCTCGCCACCTGGTCCAGTGATTGTACGCAACAGACATTACCATTCGCTTCCGGCACACCCGTCCGCACTCGTCAGCATGTCGAACACTTGTTTCCCATCCTCATGACGGTTATGACCGAATTTGAAGTAAGTGCACAGACGTTCAAGATGCGCACGAGCGAGAGGAGGATGCGGCTGACATTTGCCTAACAATCAGCTTACCATTCATAACGTCATCCACGACGTCCCCCAGGGGCAGTCTGTCATCTATGCCCTCACCAAGGCAGAGTTGCCATTTGGGCCCTACCGTAACGAGCATGCTCTCTTCCTGTGGTTCAATGAGTGCCGCACCGAGATTGTGAAGATCGAGGAGATGTTCGACGCGGTTGTCATGAAGGAGGTCTTACCCAAGCTTGATCAGTATATAGCTCAGCAAAAGGCAGAAATGGCGGAAGCTCGAGGACTGCCACTAGAAGCGCAAAAGCCGGCAATCGCCACTTTTGTGAACCATTGACTGCCAGGCTCATTGAGAATCACGACAAGCCCATCTTGATCACGATCGAAGCAGATCCGCCATTTGTGGCGAGTGTAAATACTCCTAATATCACATGCAGCGTCCCACGGTCTCTATGAAGAATGCATTGTGAATGTGCTGGGACGAGGTCCTCATACTCGAGTCATAAGACAAGGATATCTCAATGCGTCTCTGTCCGTCAAGGCGCTGAAGTGGGTAACGCCTTCGTGCCTTGCGGCTCTCCGTAGTCCATGCCACGGCGGAGCATTGAGTCCCAATATTGTAAATTGCGGGCAATTCTCAACCAACTGGAGCCAATTCATTTCGCCCTCATCGACCTGAATCAGTTGTTCATCACTTCAATCGTCTCGCCATACTCTGGTTGCTAATCTCATACCGCGATAACGAGGCTAATCGCTCGAGAGGGGCCGCTCACGACGGCCATCCGTCTTATCGTAACCTCCCGAATGAGGTCTTCGGGTAATTGCATTTCAAATCGTCCGAACATTCACAGTTCCATGGCGAAGCAAGCGACTTGATACGGACCAAGGATATTGTCAATATAGCCTTTCGATATTTCAAGATGTTGCCGGCTCAACTTCTCTCCAGTTGCTGTTTCCTTATTCCGAGTTCATCCTTACTCCAGTATGAATTCAACTTTGGCAGATCCGAATGGCCTCCTGCTTGGTTCTACAGGCGAGACAGGCGAGTCAGGCTATGGGACGTCAACTTTGTCATACGGCGTGGCTGCTTTCGCCACAACTCTCTTGAGCCTGATAGCTATCGTATCCTATCAGCCTAGGGTTCATGAGAAGTCTCCAGCGTTTACACGTGACACTTCGCCTATTATCGGCTCCTTGGGGTTTCTTACTCGACAATGGTGAGTCCGAGGTGCACTATCGCAAGAGACTCGCTTGTGCTAAATCCACCTACCACAGGTCATTCTGGAAGTCGTCCACGGATGGTTTGACCAAGAACTTCAGCTTCTGGCTGGGGAGCCGACACGTGGTTGGCATCACTGGCCAAGCCGCTCGCCGGATGTTTTATGACAATCCCGACCTGTGTTTCGTCAGTCAGGCAATCATCCAGCCGTTTGGAGTCCATTTCTGGCCACCTGTACATGCCATCTTCAAGGCTGGCTTCCACAGCGGACACAATAATACCTTCTTCCTACGTCGCCTCATGGAATTGATGAAGACCGAGGAGCTCAAGAAGGTCCTCCCGAAGGCCTTGAGTGACGTCCACAATGATCTGGAAAATCTATTGAGCAATGGCAGAAAGTCAAGCGTAACGAGCGCGCCAGATATCTGGCGGACGGTGTTTAAGCAAAATGCCCGCTTGACGTTCTGTGACGAGGTCGTTGATGACGCGAAGCTCTTCGAACGGTGCGCAGAAGACGTCGGCACACTCCTCCACACATACAGCCACTACAACGTGCTGTTCAGCTGGTTGCCGGCGCCGTCGTATATCAAGCGCCGGCTGGCGCGCCGAGACCTCGTGCAACTGGTGACCCAGATGGTGAACAAGCGCATCAAGGAGAAGACTCCATCCAAGGACGACCCATTGCAAAGACTGATCAACAACCGCGACAACAAGGAACACATCATCGAATTCTTCGTCAGCATTCTCTTCATCTCCACCACCAACGGCCACGCCATCGCCGGCCAATTGCTGAACATCATGGCCATCCACCCCGAGTGGCAGGAGAAAATATACCAGGAAATCAAAGCCGCGGTACAGGCCCACGGCAAGTTTCAGGAAGGCACCTTGGCGGAAAAGCTCCGCCTTCTCCCTCTCGAGGCTTGGGAAACGTCGTTCCCGACCATCAACATGTGTCTCAAGGAGACCATTCGCATGTGGACCTCCTTCACCGTGACGCGGCTCAACACGTCGTCCAAACCGATTCCCATCCCCGATACCGACGAGGTGGTCCCGGCCAAGACCTTTGTCATCTACAACTCGACCGAAGTCAACTTTAGCGAAAAGTTGTACCCGAATCCCACCAAGTTCGACCCAGAGCGCTACAACGAGGACCGCGAGGAATTCAAAAAGGAGACCTACGGTTGTAAGTGTTTTGGTCTTCCTGCGTCCCTGCCTGTTCTGCTTTGTCTACCCTACTTACCTGTCATGCACTCCACTCTGACATATGTCAAACTTCTACAGTCCTCGGCTGGGGTCAAGGCTGCCACGCCTGTGTGGGCATGCGCTGGGCCAAGCTGCAGCAGACCATCATCGTCGCTACCGCCTTGGCCATGTACCAGTGGAGCAGCTGTGACGCGAACGGCGAACCCGATCCATATGTCAAACACCGCAGAATATTGGACTCGGACCACGCGTTCCATCTGCCTCCGGCTTATTGTAAAGTGGTGCCTAGAGAGGTGTGGTAGAGAGTGTGGTAGGGGAGATCGAATACAGTACAATGCGGTACATGCATCCATGCTTGCATGGCAGCTGTATATCAGCATCATCATCACGGAAAACCATGGAGGATCAAGAGCGGGACGGGAGGGACGGTGATGGCCATGGTTCAGCTCTGGAAGTCCAGTGTGGAGTATCAATGGAATGACGAGAATGATCGTGATGGCAATGCTTCAGCTTACGATAGTGCGTCGCGCGGCGGCGGACATAATCGACCATATCTCAAGATTATAGCCCTTTTGGATAAACAGAGACGTTGGGACGAAGCATTATGCCGATTAACATACGTAAAAGATCCAAACCTGATACTGGAATACTTGACCAATTGCTGTGAGTGCCCTCGGCTTCGGCTCCGGCTTCGACTTCGGCTTCGGCTTACCTCTCTGGTTAATAGCGTAAGAAGAACAACTGGTCAGCTTTGCGATGCACGTTGTGAACGAGACTTCGGAGACTTCGAGTGGAGAGGAAATGTTAACCCTATCAAACCTGCCTGTCAATTACAGGCCATCAACATGATGTGCGATGTAGTGGGTTTTGTCCTCTGCGTGTACATTGTGACTTCATGGTAACAATAATGCTGCATGCCCTGTACGAAACGGAAGGCGCCCGCCTGTCCAGCTTGGTAACCATTAGACCAGCCGTCCCGAGTCTACGACACGAAGATCCATGTCCATCCGAAGCCTACTTGAATACGACGAGGCTAAGACACATCTCCATCCAAAAGCGCCTCGACTTGATGGCCACTGACTGTACCAATCGCCGCCGACTCGACGACACTTAAGACCAATCTCCATCCAAAAAATCCTCGATGCGCTTCCCTTTCCGAGCATCTTCGCGAACCTCCTCAATGGTCCACGGCTTGAACAGATGCCCCGGCGGTAGATTCGTATTCTGGAACCTGTTCTTCTCCCGCCCAAGCACGACGTGTGCAAAAGCCTGTCCATACTTCTCATACACGTATTCCTCCGGGTCATGATGAAACAGCCATTTCGGGAACCGCACACGGATCTTGTCGGGATGGCGCTTGATATCGTCCATGTCCGCATCACCCAGCGCTTCGGCGTTGACAAAGGCCATCTTCTGCGCACAGCTGACGCGCTCGTACCGGAGGAGGTTGTAGATACGAGTGCCCGTCGGTACGCCTGTCACCCCGCCGCCGCCGCCGCCACTACCACCAGCCGCGCAGGAGAGCTGCAAGCACGCCGCGAGCGTCACGGCGTCTTCGATAGCTAGCGTACCTCCACTGGCCGAAGCGGGTAAGCTGCTGTGCGCCGCCTCGCCTACTTGGACCACATGGCCGCCTTTTGAAGTCCACTCGCGTCGCAAATTGCGCCAGAGAAGCGGCCAATGGATGATCCGGCCCTTAGGGGTCGCGGAGACGAGACCTACGATGGCGGGATCCCAATCCGGCAGCCGTTGAAGCACCTTGATGACTTCGCCGGCGTCGACGTCGGGCTTCCACGACTCGATCGGTTTGATGCCGCCCGTGTGCACGGTGCTGTCGCGCGGCGTGATCCCGTAGGCCGTGAACTCGGGAGACACGACCAGACCCATGTGAATACCCGGGCCGGTCCAGAACTCGTGCGAAATCTCGTTCCGAGCAATTGCAGCGCCCCACCTGTTTCTGAACGCGTCGTTCTGCAGGGCGAGTTCGGTGGGCATGGACGTTCGGTACACGGACATGCCGGCGGACTGGGTCGGTGCGTGGCAGCCCGCGATCAGAAGGGCCGACTTTGTCTTATTCGCATCGGCTGCGACCACCACGTCGGCGACTCGGATGGTGCCGCTCTTGGTAATCACGCCGCCCACTCTGGCCGTCTCGTCCTCGAAATAGCTTTCGACTTGTTGGCCGTACTCGACTCTCAGTTCCACTCGGGCGACCTGGCGCAGCAGCATTTGGAAAAACTTCCTCCGCACTTGATGCGGCGCTGTGACAGGGTGACCCTCTCGCTCTAGCATGTACTTTGGATCGTTGAATCCGAGCTGCGTGGGCCCGAGGATGAGCTCGCCGTCGTGCGTGTAGTATGACATGGTGCTGTCGTGTTGGTCTGCCTCGAGCTCGCGCATCATGTCGGGCCAGTGTCTGAACGTTGCAGTAGCTGATGGTCCGATGACGATGATGTCTCCTACAGGCCGATCGAGACTCATGATGTCAGTACTTCGAGTATTTCTCGCAGATCAAATGGTGATGGGGGGTGAGAGGGAGAAACCAACCCGCGTAGACCGGCCCATGACTTCGCTCTAGAATGCCTACCACGTTGTGCCCCCTCCGCCAGCATTCCAGAGCCGTCATCAAACCTGCGAGACCAGCACCAACAATCAACACATTGAGATCCGTCTTGGGATGTCGCTTTGGCAGCGTGCCTGGTTCCCACCTGTCTGGATCGAAGTCACACGGGTTGCCGTCCACAAAATAACCCGATCCGGGAGACCCTGGAGACCCTGGTGCGCCCAGCGACCCCAGTGAACCCATCGGGACTGGCTGTCAAGTTGTCTGTCTTGAGCAAGGGTCGCTGGATCTCGCTGTTGTTGAGTCTGCCACCAAAGATTGCGGCCAAAGTTGACTCTTGCGTCGAAGCTTGTGGTGAATGCTTACTCTCCTGACGACCGACCTGATGGTCAGGTAAATGCCACGCATAATAAAGACATGCTCGGGTTTGAGCCTGTCTCCGATTGGTCATCCCGACCAAGAAGACCGGCCGGAGGCAGGCCAGCGGAAGTCGAGATATCCCAATTGCCCGACATCCGATGGTCTCGGTCCCGAAGATCTCCAGATTATTTGGAACGTCTGTCGTAGAATCCAAAACTGTTGTCGCAGACATATCCTACTATCGGGAATTTGCTATTTGACTCTCGTTGTTGTTGGCGCGGGTTGTCACGGAGCTCGTATCAGGTCGTGCGGACTTCTCAGACGATGTTCGAGGAAAGGTGGAAGAATCGAGTCCGCAGGAAATAATCAATTACCCGACTTCCATCCGATGTCCATTTGACTCCTGAGTCTCGAGGTCGGTCATCGTCAATTGCAGGATCAAAGCAAAGCCTGGAGACCTGATCATTGCGAGATAGGCCTGCAGCAATAATGTATCCTATATAGCTTCATCTGAGTTGTTCTCAGACGACGACAGAGGAGGCAATGAATGTTCAGTGAACTAATAGTGGTCAATTGCAGTTGGTGTTGTGCGATTAATTTAATCATCTGTGCGAGCACGCAAGATGAAGGTGGCAGCGTCAATGCCGAGCTTGGAACACACGGCTTCTACGACGTTACCACGGCTAGCAACGATTACAGTGCTGCACGAACCGTCGTCTTGCTAAGCCTCGGCAAAAGAAAGCGAAGAAAGGGTAGAGCGGAGAATTTGTCATTGTGCCACTATAATAAGAGACTGACTCGAGTCCCAGATATCTATCTGCTCAAGATATCCCTACCAATTTACACCTCAATCGGCTCGTTCTCCCAGAACACAAGTGACCTAACCTCGATACTCTCTCTCGGCTCGAGTGCTTGGTCATCCGGGTGCGAGAAAGCAGAGTGGAGGGTCCGCCTCGATGACCCATCTGGAGCCTTGTTCGTGTCGAAGATCTGCAGCATCAAGACCTCATCCGGTGTCATGCCCGAAGCGTAGTACCAGGCGTGATTAGGATTGCTCGTTGCTGTCATCGACTGATAGCTCTTGGCCATCTTCTCGGCCGTATAGCTACCATAGTCTCTTGGGGCGCGCGTGTAGACGGGGACCAGGTCCTCATCAGGCACAGATCTCATGTCACACAAGGCCAGAGGATTCCTGCGGACGGGCTTGATAGGGCGCCAGACGTTGATGATCCCCCATCGGGTCTTGCTGAAGCGAGCCGCTTCCTCGGGGGAAAGGGTCTCATCAAAAAGTTGTTGCGCACCCAGAGGACCTTGATCGATGTGGGCAAAGTGTGCGGGCCCAATCTTGCCGACACGGGCGTCATCGGGAATCTGCTTCTCTTCGATCTCTTTCGTGATAGATTCCCATGGCGTGCGGCGGACAATGTGCGAGAAGATGCGAACGTCAGTGGCTCCAGTTCTGTACTTGAGCGTCAGTACCTGACCTCCAGACCGCTGTGGCCAACTTGAGTCGAGATACGTGGGAGCAAGGAAGGGGATGTGGGACAGTCTCACGTCTTCTTCAACAGGTCCGCGACCTCGGGAAAGGCCGTGCCCTTGATTCGGTCTTTGTCCAAGAACTCCTTCTCTTCACTGGTATGCTTGAGCAACTGGAAACCTTGTTCTGCCAAGCTGAATTGGTTCTCTTTTCCGCGAATGTCGTTGATGGTGACTGAAGCAGTGTCAAACTTGCGGCGATAGGATCCAGCCGTGCCCGGAATGACGGTGTTGAGCGTGCCACCCATGCCTGCAGGATGGTAGTTGATCGTCGTCTCAACATCGCCACCCATCTCGGGGACAGCTTTGGCGACAAGCGTAGCTGTCGTGGTAGTCGTAGTACTTGCCATGTTGTCGAGGATGCCGTGGACTAGGAGCGTATTGCTGTAGGCTCGAGTTCATGCGTTTGATCGTGTGTTTATATCCTTCATTCTTTCACCCGATCGTAATGCTCTGCACACAGTTACTCTAGACTCCGCTCTGTTCGGCTCGGGTCATTTACGTGGGATCTGGTGTCGGGTGATTTTGATGAACGACATTTGAGGCAGTCCGTCTCATACAAAAAGCATGTGGATGTCGAAGTCTACTGTTCCTGTCTCAGGTTGCCAATAATTTGCCCGAGTGAAAATCCAGAACCAATTTATCGGACGATTTCAGTTTGTTGTTGAGACATGGACGGCTGGGTTGGATTATGGGTATTGGGACAGCAGATCTTCCTTATCTCCAGACGCATTGTCAAGACTCGTCTCGACCGTCAGCTCCAACAGAAACAGGATGGGATAGACCTGGAATCGGTTCCATCTGCGAGGGACTTGCTCGGCTTGAATGTAGCTGTCTGATCGGCGTGGGAGGTGCTCAATCTCGCCTGTCATGGCAATGGAAAAAGGATTCGGGGCTGTTGTGGGAGACGAGCCGAACGCAGCTCGGGTCTTGGCACCGGCCGAGACTCGACAACGACATCCGCAACAACCAACGCAACCGCCGCCATCACTAGCCAAAACAACATCCACGAGTCGGCCGAGCACCCTCAGCATCATCGCAGCATACTTGTACAGCAGAAGCTCTTGACGTCATGAAGTTCCCCTTTACTGTGTCGCTGTTGTGCAGTGAGCCAAGCTTAGACGAGATGGTCGCATATAAACAACAACGTTTCCTTCTTCACCCCCCAACTCGTACGTAGGAAAGATCACAATAGCATTTGCCAAAGTCACAAGTCAATCCCCAGAATCAAAGAAGTCAAGAGACAACATGAACACCGTCTCAGTCGCTAAATTTGTCGGAGTCCCCGCTGCCCTGCTGCTCGGAGGATACCACCTCTCCCTCTCCCACAACATCATCCCGGTCTTGTACGGACAGCCTGCGTCCGTGGCCATCTCAGCCTTTTCGCCCATCTATATGACGGCACTCACCCAAGTCTTCCTCCCGGCGGGGTTCCTCAGTCTGACCTCCTTCGGCACCTTGACATACAAAGCCGAGAACACCACGGAGCGCTTTCTGTACGGGACGGCTGCCGCCATGATCGTGGGCTTCGGCGTGGTGACCAAATTTGTGATTGTGCCGGTGGCTGAGCGCCTCATGTTCTTTGAGGAGACTACGCCGCTGGAGAGCAAGTTCGGCAGCAATGACGAGGTGGTGAAGCTGTTGAAAGCATTCACGAGTCACAATTGGTTCCGTGTAATCTTTGCTCTCGGTGCTGGGCTGATCGCGTTGTACGCAGTCATGACGACTGTCGAGGAGAGAGCGCATAAGAGTCTCTTGTGATCTATTCAGCACAGTGAGGCAGATATCATACGGGAAGAGCATCTTGTCACGAGCCGGAAGGGGGATCGACTCTCACAAGACCGGGGTTCGGGTTGCATGCATGTACCATTGAATCAAGTCGGTCTCGGTCAAGGCAGCTGGGGATAAATTTCGAGTCATGAGCCAGCCAGAATCCAGAATCATAAACACCGATGCTCATGACCAGTCTCCATCCAACCCAGCGCCGATGTTTACATTGTTGAGAAGATCCATCCTGACCTGTTCGACCGTCCATGGCTTATGCGTGTGTCCCGGTGGGTAGTTGGTATTCTGGAGAGGAGATTTGCCATTGCTGATGACATGGAGGAAACCTTCGCCGTACTTCTTGTATGCATACTCTTCCGGGTCATGCTTCCAGACCTGTCTGAAGTTAGTCGGGCGACTTTTGTGGAGGAATGGCTCAGCTCACCCAGCTCGGGAACCTTGTGCGGATCAATTTGGGGTTTTCTGCAATGGCGTTCCAATCGGTAAAGTGGTGTTGCTGGGTGTTCACGAATGACATCTTCTGGGCGCAAGAGACGCGCTCGTAGCGGAGTCTGTTGTGGACCTTGGTGGCAATGGCCACGTTGTTGCGCCCAGCGACGTGCAAGCAGCTGGCGAGGGAGATGGCATCTTCCAAAGCCTGGGTGGCCCCATTGCCAGAAGCAGGGAGGAATGAATGCGCACTATCCCCCACCTGGACGATGCGACCGCCAGGAGAGGTCCATTCTTGAAGTAGGTCGCGCCATCTCAACTTCCAGTGGACGAGACTGCCATGGACGTATTAGCCTTTGGTGGGTCACCGGCATCAGTCATGACGCTTACCTCCCACGGGGTGTGGTCTTGAGCAGCGCACTGACGGCTGGATGCCAGCCTGGCGCTACTCGCTCCATCAAGCCAACGACTTCCTCGGGCTCAACACTGGCGTTCCAGGACTCTGTGCCATCAGGCGCATACTCATCCTTATGTGTCAAGCCCCAGACTATCATGTCGTTGCTGACCATGGCTGACAAGTGAAGTCCGGCACCCAACCAAAACTGCCATTCCGGCACATCTCCTTGTTTGGTTGGCCACCGCTCCAGAACTTCACGGTCGTCCCTGGTGAAATCGGGTGAATAGCCCGCGCGGTAGATGGACTGGCCGCTGTCTTTTGGTTCGGGAGTATAGCCGGCGATCAACTTGCCAGAGTTGGTCTTGATGCCATCTAGTGCGAAATAGGCGGTCAGAATGTGAAAATTGCCTCGACAAGGATCAGAGTGGGCGGCTTTTTGTGGACGTACCAGCAGCAATCACAACATCTGCTTCCAATTTTTCGCCGCTTTCAAGCACCACACCGCCGAGTCCGACTGCTTCATCCTCGTAGTATTCAACGACGCGGCGGCCCCATGTGACGGGAATACCGCATCGTTTGACTTGACGGAGCAGCATGTTGAAGAATTTGATACGTCCTTGCATGAAGCCCACCCGTGGTCCTTTACGCCCCTCCAATGCCTCTGCATCATTGAATTCAGGCGGTCCGGGACCTACCATAGATCGGCCGTCAGCTTCCATCCCATCGGCTTGCTCTGGGGTATGAGTCTGGGGACAAGGACTTACCATAAATGCGATCGCCAGTGTTGTGCCAGTACGAGATGCCAGCATCGTACTGTTCCTCTTCAATCTCCTTGGACATCCGTGGCCAGTGTCGGTACACTGACATACAACTTGGCTGGAGACAGAACACGTCACCTTCGAATGCATCAGCCACGACAAATTCACCAGGAGGGCATAACAGTTCCTTTACCGGTATTCACCGGTGCATAGGCCCGATCAATCAGCTGGACCGTGCAGCCTTTTCGCCAGCATTCCAGAGCTGACATGAGACCTCCTGGCCCGCATCCAACACTGCCATCGCATGAGTTCCAATCTGAACCGGCCAGTCACGCGGTCAATAGGACACATACATGAGCACCGTGATCCCACTGTCTGGATATCGCTCAACTTCTCCGGCTATTTCCGCGGAGGACAAGTCCTTAGTAGTCCCATTGGAATAGCCGAGCAGGCCAATCTTGTGCAACCCATTCTGGTGCTCCGTTTCGCCATCGTGGACGCCATTTGTTGTCTCTATGGCTGAAGGCATCTTCGATTGCGGTCTGTCATGTAATGCTGCCGCGTGAGACCCATCCCAGACTTAGGGGGTGGATACTGATCAAGTATTCTACAAATTCGAGGCTCATTTTGCGGACGTCGCTTCATTAATTGAGACTACGAGCGATTGCTCCGAGGTCGGGACATTCACCTTCATGGTTCCCGCATGCTCTCAAGCTGTGTACTTCGGCGCAATCGGGTATCAGTAACTGCATCGAAGCTGCCTTGGGCGAAAGGCCGGCTCAACGGACCGTGTTGCGGGATACAGCATGGGCCACAGGATTCTGCAGAACTTGCGGCCATTTCACTCGGACCGGAAAGGTCAGCACCTTGCACAGCTTGTCAGATAGTGGGAGAGGACGAAAATCAGAAGCGCGTGCAGAAAGCATTTGGTTGAACAATCATTGTCCGTAGTCTTTACGGTGGAGCATATTACCTTCAGTAGCAATGGGCTGCCTCACTGAATCCTGAGTCACTGCCATCCTCTGAAACTTTTCTCGACCATCTTGTAGAAGATCGGATGATCGAATGAGTGTCACTCGATCGGCGGACACTATCTAACATGCTCCAGGGTTGTGAACCTTGCGCCACGCAAGAGCCGGTGACAGCTATAATGTGGGCTCGGGTCTACAATCATGGCACGACCCGAAACTTCGGGCCTTGCTGGTGTTTGAGCACCCGAGATCAACCGTCTGCCTTCGGCCCTTTCCTGTTTCACCACCAAAAGATATGACCCGACATCGAATTGCTGGCTGAGAGTCCGTCTTCCTGAACTCGGATGGTGCTATGGCGCATGGCCCGAAGACTCCTCGCGATGTCAATGCTGCGATCTCGAGCATCTCCCTTTCCTTTCCAATCAACATTGACGTTGACGATCGCAGAAGTGCGAATGTGCTATTTATTGGCTTGATCGTGATTGTTCGTTTCTGATCCCGTTCTTATCCTCTCACGGACAGCGAGGCTTCAGATCACCTTTCTCGCCTTGACATTTTTCGAAGCCCTACAGCAAACCATCCCACGATCCAGCCATGGGTGTCGAAGAACCAACAGGCACCACCATGCAAGAGCAGCAGATCCAACACCAGCAGGTGTCCGCAAAATCGTCTGATGAGAGTCCGACGCTCGAAAAGCAACACGGTATAGCTATCGACTCAGCTTTCGAGGGCCGGGAATGGCCGGGCCCAGCACAAGTCGCTGCTGTCATGATCGCCATCTGCCTCTCCGTCTTCCTTGTCGCTTTGGTAAGAAAGATATTGTCTGGCTGTTGTCCCAGCTGCTCCCAAAGTGTCCCTGACCGAGTCTAGGACCGCACCATCATCGCCACCGCCATCCCCAAAATCACCGATCAGTTTCATTCGCTGGACGATGTCGGCTGGTACGGCAGCGGCTTCTTGCTCACCTCGTGCGCCCTCCTGCTCCCTGTCGGCCGTCTCATGACGTTTTACTCCCCCAAATGGGTGTTTCTGACCATCCTGGTCATCTTCGAAATTGGATCTGTCGTCTGTGGCGCCGCACCAAACTCTGATGCGTTCATCATCGGGCGGGCCATCGCTGGTATTGGCGGCGCAGGCATCATGACCGGCGGTACCGTGCTGTTGACATACACTATACCGCTGGCCAAGAGACCCAAATTCCAGGGCTTCATTGGCATTAGTTTCGGTCTTGCCAGTGTCGCTGGGCCCCTACTGGGAGGGGCTTTCACCAGCAACGTCACATGGCGATGGTGCTTTTACAGTACGAACCCCATATTGCTGCATGTGCCATATTACTGACCTGAACTTCCAGTCAATCTTCCGGTCGGCGCCGTCAGCATCATCTTCATCACCTTTATTCTCAAGTCCACACCACCTCCGGGCAAGAAAGATGTGTCATTCCTGCAGCATTTCTTCCAACTTGACCCTCTGGGCACCTTGTTCCTGATTCCGTCACTTGTCTGCCTGGTACTTGCCCTGCAATACGGTGGTACGGTTGATTCCTGGTCGAGCGGCCGGGTGATGGCTCTGCTTGTCGTCTTCGCCGTTCTTGCTCTGGGTTTTATCTTGGTCCAGATCTTCAACAAGAAGAACAGCATGGTTCCCCACGGCGTCATCAAGAACCGCGACATCCTTTCCGGCGCCCTCTACATGTTCTGCCACGGTGGCGCGTTGACAACTCTGGTCATCTATGTCCCCTTGTACTTCCAAGCCATCAAAGGCGTCAGCGCGGTGAAGTCTGGCGTGGATACATTCCCGATGATCCTCGCTCTGGTCCTGGGCATCATCATGGGCGGTGTGTTGACTGGAAAGATCGGCTACTACGCACCTATGGGCTACGTCTGCGTGGTCCTGGCGCCCATCGGGTGCGGATTGATTGCGACCTGGACACGAACCACCAATCATAGCAGGTGGATTGGTTACCAAGTCATCGCCGGCTACGGTCTGGGCATCGGATTTCAGTCACCCATGACGGCGGCTCAGACGGTCCTAGCCGATTCTCTTGTTCCGCTGGGCGTAGCTTGCATCCAATTTGCTCAGGTGATGGGTGCGACAGTCTTCGTTGCGGTCGCCCAGAATCTTCTTACCACTCGGTTAACGTCCGGCTTGGCGAAGATCCTCCCGAACTTCGATCCCAACGTCTTAGCAAACACTGGTGCCGTTGAATTGAGAGACCTGGTTCCGGCAGCTCAGTTGGATCAAGTCTTGGACATCTATATGCACGCCCTCCGTCAAGTCTTCTTCCTGTGTGCTGGGTTGGCGGCTGCCATCATCATCGGTGCCGCAGGCCTGTCATGGAAGAGCGTGAAGGTGGAGAAGCAGGAGCCGAAAAAGCAGGAAGAGGGATCAGAGAAGAGCAAGGACGAGGAGGCTCATTCCGGCGAAGAATAGGCCATGTGAATGGAGGTTGAGAGATGATGGCGTACGAATGAGAAAGACCGAAGGGGGTAATGCAACACCGGGAAGGACCAGGTGACAGGCGCTTTCGGGGCCGAATCGGGCTTTTCTTTCCTGTCCAGACGACAGATGTTCGCTGCGGTGTTGGATTGTGATGGGCATTGCAGTGGAGTCTGTCAGGAGCTCAGTGCAGGGACGATATCCCCGTATATGAGTGAATGATCATTTACACAAGAAAGCCATGTCCGCTTCATTTGGCGATTCACCATGTGATCTTACAAGACATAAACCAAATCGACTGAACAAAGGTAATGCTTCAACTGGTCTGAGACAAACCGAAAAACACTTGAACTTGATTGGAAAATCCTGACGTTCCTATTCTGAGTGAAATATCTTATCGTAATCGTGCTCCGCCCAACGAATATTGGGCTCGAGACCAGCAAACTTCCATACACCATCGATCTTGCGATACTGGACGGTCGCCTTGCCATGAGCATGCCCCTTGTAGAGCACTTCGGACAGTTCATCGTCCTTGTACTTCTGATGAGCCACCCGCATCTGGTGATAGCCCGTGACCTCGTCTTCACCGGTCTTGATCCACCTACCCGCGCCAATGAAATGCTGCGTCTTGATGCGCGGGTTCCCCAGAAATCTCCCGTTGGACGCCATGTCGATGAATTGGGCGGCTGGCATTGATTCCCACAGCATGCCCATTACAGCACGGTAGTCAACCTGTTTGAGAATCAGAAGGACGGCCACTCTTCGCGGACCATCGTCCCTGAACGCGGACAGGAACAGTGGGATCTGTACGCACATATAGAGTCGGCGCAACGATTTCTGCGAGTCGAGTCCAATCCTTGGTGTCGAAGCTCTCGGCCCATTCGAAGATAGCGGCCTGGCAGGCTATGACCTCTGGCATAACAATGGATAAGTGGTCAATCTCTTGAGCTTCGTCTCGTGGGGAACAGACCTTCAGCAGAAGCGGACTTGTACCCTAACGAGCCCATGATGGCAGTACTTCCCGATGGAACTGGACACGGAAGTGGAATCTCGAGCTGTGCAGCAGAGGATACATCACCACTGAGCTTCACCAGAGCTATCGAGTATAGTAAAGAAGGTGTCGGATGTTTGGTGGGCGTATCAGGCCTGACGAAGAAAATGTCCCGATGAGCCCGAATGCCCGATGCGGATCGGAGGGCCAAACACCCCCCTTTTGACTCGGCATCCCCGACAGCCTGATCGCAAATGAGCCGTTATCCTCGTCCTGGAGATCAATCAAAAATGCTTAAGATCTGCAGTCGCAGGCCAGAAGACGATTCCACCTGGCGAAATTTCACCACTCAAAGTCCAGCATTCCTCGTCCCTCTCTACCACGTCCTTTCTTGCCCTCTAGCACAAATCAGTCATGACCACTCCATATATCCCCGGTCGCCTCGACGGCAAGGTTGCCGTCGTCACCGGCTCTGGACGAGGTATCGGCGCCGCCGTTGCAGTGCACCTAGGCCGCCTCGGCGCCAAAGTCGTCGTCAACTACGCCAACTCGGCCGAACACGCCGAGAAGGTTGTGGCCGAGATCAAAAGCCTAGGCTCCGACGCGATCGCCTTGAAAGCCGACGTCCGCCAAGTGAGTCAGACTGTGAAACTCTTCGACGACGCCAAAGCCCACTTCGGTCACATCAACATCGCGGTCAGCAACTCGGGCGTCGTCAGTTTCGGGCACCTGCAAGATGTCACCGAGGAGGAATTTGACCGGGTGTTCAGCCTCAACACGCGCGGCCAATTCTTCGTGGCGCGCGAGGCGTACCGCACGTTGGAGGAGGGTGGCCGCATCATCCTCACCTCGTCCAATACCTCCAAGGACTTCAGCGTCCCGGCACATTCGCTGTACTCGGGCTCCAAGGGCGCCGTTGACTCCTTTGTCCGCATCTTCTCCAAGGACTGCGGGCCCCGGAAAATCACGGTCAATGCCGTCGCGCCCGGTGGGACTGTGACTGATATGTTCCATGCCGTCTCGCAGCATTATATCCCTGGTGGGGAGAAATTCACGCCCGAGGAGCGCCAGCAGATGGCTGCCCATGCGTCTCCTCTACACCGGAATGGATACCCTGAAGATGTGGCCCGCGTTGTCGGCTTTCTCGCAAGCAAAGAGGCCGAGTGGGTTAATGGGAAGGTGCTCACTCTGGATGGTGGAGCGGCGTAATTGTTTTGAAGCTTGGGTCCGGAGGGACGTGCAGTTTGACAATGAAAATAGACTCAATGCGGAGAGGTAAAATCTTTTGCGTGAATCAGAGGAGCAGAGATTTCATACAAATGCAATCTTCCGACTTCTTTTCTCGCCCTCGCTGTGAATGTTCCTATTCCGTGACCACCGCAATGATGGGCCCGTATTCTTTTGTTAGACGCTCACTGGTCAACAAATCAACCATCTCTCGAGACATTATCTTCATGAAAAGCGTTCGGTTATGGGATTCTGCCCGGTGCTGTTTGACAATGGAGCGAATTGGACTTTCTTATGGGCCTGCGGATCCGGCACTTGATAGGGGAATCACTGATTTACTTTTCGGGAAGTAATAGGCATGGTTGTTCGATGCCGGAAAACTGCAACATCCTGAATACGATGAGATAAGTGGGAGGGTCCGCCCATATCTCTTACTTGAATTGCAAGGAGATTCGATTGCAGAAAGAACAAGAGGCAGTCACCGCGCTTGATGCAAGATTCGATATGATGCATCTAATGAACGCCTCCGGCAACCTGTAGACCCCTACTTTGACTGTATCTCTTGCCGCTCCCATTCACGCACTTCAATCAATCTTTGGAACACTCGATCCGAACCTCTTCTGCAGAGCCGCTTCCAACTCCGGCTTGGCCACCTTTCCACTGCCGTTTCTTGGGAAATCCGTCAATCCAAGCTGCTTGAGAGACACGACTCCAGCTAAGAGGTATGTCTGGCCGAGGACTGTCGTCACATGCATCATGATCTCAGGCCCCGTACGACGAGCGTACTCCTTCACGATTGCCACGGGCATTTGTCCTCGTGTAGGATGTCGGACGGAAAGTATGGCCGCCTACGGGAACGAATTAGCTTGAGTTTTCTTAGTACTGGTGGCAGGAGGCTCGTGTCTGTACCTGTGCACCACCTAGATATTTCTGAATGACCGTCTCAATGGCCACAGGGACGATGATCGCGGCGCAACTGACGATCATGTCCTTGGACCGGCCGAGAATGGATACCAAGCCGTCCTGATCGATCATGGCAGTGTCGCCTGTGACTAACCAGTGACCACAGTCATCGTCGTGGAACGAGCCCGGCGAGCGGCCACCCATGTATTGACGCAGCAGACTGCCGCCACGGATGTGTAGTTCGCCGACCTCACCTCTCTGCACGACGCGCCTTGTTGATGTGCTCCAGATGCGCACGGCCGATCCAGGAGCCACGGCGCCAATGGGACACAGCTCTCCGAAGCGGGGGATCTGGTCCAGTGGAGTATCGAAGAAGGACCAGTAAAAGGAGCCGCCCCCTTCGGTCATGCCGTGGTTGACACAGACCTTTGCGGATGGGAACAAGGCCGAACATTCTTCCATGGCGCCGATGGTGACGGCTTCTCCTCCAACCTGGACGGTCTTGACCGAGTCTGCAGTGAAAGGATCCCTTGTCATCTCTGCTCGAATCGCCAACGCCATGGATGGAGACACTGCGATGAATGTCGGTGCGCGGTGCCTCAGCGCCTGCGTCATCTCTTGGATGTCGCAGCTCTTTGCGATCATCATCACCGCGCCACCGGCTTTCCACGTCTGCAATGTCTGAAAGGCTGCAATGCCTCTCGAATTGTGCGCCGCTTGTAGTGCTCGAGCCGAGTTTGATTCGTTGACGAGCCAGGACTGAGATTCTAGAATCTGACACATGCTGGCTACACGCAGGGGACATCCTTTAGGCGTACCTGACGTCCCCGAAGTGAAGATGATGGAGTTGATACGGTTGGGATCATCGTGTGCCGCTGCTTCACGAAGTTTGGATGTGTCAATTGCTGCTCCGGGCGAGCTGCCACCGATGATCAGGTCCCTAGGCGATCGCCAGCCTTTGGGAAGGTCGTCATCTAATGACACCCGGATGGGTGGTGCGAGATTCAGGTCTTCAATCGCGATATCCAGCGCTGCTGCTTGCGTGACTCCCACAGTCACCACGATGGACGGCCTGACGCTTCTCATGATGTCTTTCAGTCCGCGGTAGCCGGACACGCTGACGATGTCTGGGTCGACGCAGACATAGGTTATTCTCAGCAGAACACAGCACCACGTCAGAAGCGCATACTCGACCCCGTTCGGGATGAGCATCAACAAGGTAGATGCTCCTGGCCGAGCATGTGCTAAAACCAGGCCGGCTGCCAGCTTTTGCGCTGTTCTGTCGAGCTGCTCATACGTGACGGCCAAGCAGCCTTTTGGGCCAGGCACGGAGGTGTCCTCCGAATTACCATTTGTGAGGCATTTCTTGCATTTTGGAGGTTCTAGAATGTCAGACAGATGGTGTGCGTTCTGGTGCAAGCAAATCACCGCCCAGCCGTTTGGATTCCTGCTCAGCCCTTGCTCCAAATGCCGAAATACTGAGTTCATCCTCGGGAGATATCCGCCATTGATCTCTGCAAGCGAGACTTGCGCCTTTTGTTCGCTTGAGGGGTTGAGACTGTTCACTGGGAACAAAAGTCGCCTTAGACACATAGTAAATCGCCGGAGCAAGGCAAAGAGGATGAGCATGAACTCGGTGGGACTGGGTGTTCCTTTCGCCATGTCCGAAGCTTCCTTTGTTGACTTAATGTTGAATGCGTCTGATGAGGTCTCTGCGATGAAGACTGGCAGTATAACCTTGTGCTAATCCAGTCGCCTTCGTCATGGATTTGATAGTGTGTAGGTAGTGAGAGTGCAGGCTGGGAGGAGCTGAGCGTGTCCTGAGACAAGGTCCACGACAACCGTCACTCGTCAAGTCCCGGTGGCCCTCCCGCAATCGATATCCACGAAAATACCGACGGGAACACCGAATAAGGCATTAGCGGCCCGAAGGTTTAGAACCGCGCGGCGGAGGATTTCGAAGAATATGCCGACCTGAAGCGGCTCGAAATCCGAGAGCACTTGTATCGATCAGCCAATGACCGGTTCATGATTACAGCTGTACCCAGTTGGCAGCTTGCAGACTACAGTCCGATCCAGCCGAAATTGGGGCCCTGCACTGTATCGAGCTAGTAGCCTCAGGCTGGCGAACGTTTGCCTTGTCCATGATCTACCCAGCTCTTCATCTTTCGGCAGCGCAACGACAGATGCTGCAGTGGCTACACAACAGTATTCTCACGTCGCCATACGGTCGCTTACATCTTAACCTCATCCACCACGGCAGTGACCCCAATCACCGTCCCGACCAAAGGCAGCATCGAGCGCATAAGATGCAATCGACTCCACCGAGTGACAAGCTCCTTTCCGGTCTCGATATCGGTGGTAACCAGCCCCGCCACCCTCGCATCCCTCTCCAGCCCGAACAGCGTATTGTTCGTCGAGACCATGAAGATCAGAGTGAATGGCACGATGTTGACAGTCACGATCCCCGCCAGACCATATCGAACCCAGGCGTCGTTCCTTGTTCGTCGGGTGAACGCGACGCCGAGATAGATCAGGCAGGTGACGATCGCGAGACCTGGCAGCACGCGATGGCCGTAAGCGTACATGGTCACCCACTGGTGCAGCAGTTGCGCCGGGAGAGATGTCGTTTCCAACAGGACGGGCACTGCCATGAGGGAGAGGGCAGTCATGGCTCCTTAACAGTCACAAAGGACGGGGGTGTTAGTTTCGATTGCACCGAAGAACGTATAGAGTACGTAAATGTGAGGACGAACCGCAGAGAATTGACCCGGCGGCTATGGCCACGAGTGGCATTGTGATATCTTTTGATTGCACTTGCGTCTTTGCCATGGTGCCACGCTTGTTCCGGTACATACTAGTAGTAGTACTTGAAGATCAGGATGCGTAAGTACTTTTGAAGACAACGCGTTGGGTCCTGTTGTTTCGCATGCCTCTGGCTGCCAACAGAGAGGGGAGACACACTCGAGGATTGAGATAAGATGTGCAAGTACCAAATATCACGTTCTATGCCCCCTCGGGCTATTTGCGTTTTCGGCATCTTCTTACTTGGACTCTACTCCGCAAGCTCGGGTGATTTGAACCACGTGCATAGAATGGGAATCCTGCGATTGGACCAGGGGCGAAGCTAGGCCCTATTGAGTATGCTCTACCGAATACGGCTAGAATGACTTAAAGCTCCGTAAGGCTGATAAAGCGCTGCTATGATTGGCTAGGTCCTTGCTTTTCCTAACTCTAGTTCTTGGTCGAAAGAGCTGCATTTCGATGGCGACGAGGACTGTACTCTGCAGTGAAGAGTATGGCCTGGCTGCGAAGGACAGGACTTTCGTCAACGATGATAACGACTTGATTTTTCGACTTTATCATTGTTCTATCTCCCGCCTGTCCCATCCCGATGTTGCCTAAAGACTCGACCACACTCGAACAACTTTGAACTTCTAGGCCGCCACTGTTGCAGCGATGGGAATGACTGTCACAGATACATCCGCTTCATTCTTCAAAGCCATACGGGTCATCACGGCCGCCGTAGCGTCAGTCTCAAGTTTCGAGAGATCCAACCACCGGCCCAGCTCAGTCTTCAGCTCAGTCAGTTCGATCTGGTCCGCCGATGCCCAAGCAATGACGCCGTCCGGTCGGACAATCAACGCCTTCAGATCAATGGCGTCCTTGGGTTGAGATCCAGAGTACCTCACCGCCGACCCTAGAGACTGGACGTAATTGGCCACGGCGTGGTTGTCGGTAAAGTCGAGCACCAAGAACGGGGCCTGTCGCATATTGGCCCCTAAGCGCGAGCCGTCGGCGAATTCAAAGTCCGGAGCACTGTATCCGATCGCAGGGTGCGCGTTGCCGAGATTGTAAAGCTTCGCAAGGCCCACGATGTGCTCGATGAAAAACGTGTTTCCGTCCTTGGTGGCAATCAGGTCCTTCATAAGCTTGGCGGTCGCCAGACTATACGGGTTGGACCGCAGGAGAGACAGTTGCACGCGAGCCCATTCGAGTTGTCTCGCTCCCTCCGGGTGACGCTCTTGATTGTACGAGTCGAGAAGCTCCGGAGAGGCAATCCCCCGGACAGTCGCGGCCAGTTTCCAGCCGAGATTCATCGCGTCGCCAATGCCGATACTCAAGCCCTGGGCACCGAAACTGGGATGGACGTGGGCACTGTCGCCGGCCAGCAGCACCCGGCCCTTGCGGTACGTGGTCGTCTGTTTCAGGTGGGTGGTCATGGACATGGCGCGGTGGAGTTCGGTGACGACAATCTCGGTCTGAGAAACACGGCGAAGAACGCTCTCGAAATGTTCGCGCGTGATGGCTTCATCGCCGCCCTTCAGTCCCAGTGTCTCAAAGTCCGTAACATACAGATGGCCCGGCGCAGGGAAGATGTACATGCCGGCCGCGGTACGGCAGAAGCCTCTCTGCAACACTTCCGGGTTGGCAAGATCGCAGTGTACGACATATCCCCTGAATTCGGCCGGTGTACCAGGGAACTCGAACTGCGCGGCTTCGCGAACCTTGCTGCGCTCACCATCACATCCAACCAGCCATTTCGCCTTGAATGTCTGATCTCTAGCCAAGACAGTGACGGTCTCACTCTCTTCTGTAAAGTCGGTGAATTCCGCACCTCTCAGGATGCGGACACCCAGACTTTCGGCACGCTCGGCCAGGGTCTTCTCCAGCGTGTCCACAGAGGTAGGGGCGGGATAGAACAGCTTGGCCTCTGCAGGCTGGGGCAGCGGCAGATGGTACTTCCAGCGAGCAAAGTCGGCGTTTTTGGGATCCAGACGGATCGAGGCAAAGTGGGCGGCGAAGTTCAAGTCGTAGCCAGGGACTTTTGCCACATGGCCGGGGACGTCGATGTTGTGCAGCACCTTGTCGAGCAAGCCACGGCGGTAAAAGGCTTCGATCGAGTGGATGTGAAGGCCGCGAGTGCCGTGCAGTCCAACCTTCCATGGCGACTCGGGCGATTCTTGTTGCTCCAACACAAGCACCGAAACACCGGCTACGGCCAACTCGCAGGCAAGAAAGAGGCCCACAGGCCCAGCGCCGGCGACAACGACATCGTAGGAAGTATTCATGGTTGTGATGTCGATGTGGGTTCAAACTGAGTCTGCTGTGATGGAGGTAAAATAATTGTTGGTTTGCATTTGTGATCATACATATATATCGCTGATCCATCTATCATTGGGTCGTAGGCATGTACGTGCTCCGAGAAAATCGGTATTCCGAGCTCCCAGAAGATACCAAAGGAGCTTCGGGGTGTTTCCTAATGGCCCGGCTGAGATCACTCCGTACGGTGATCCCTTCCACAATCATCGTCTAGGCTTGCTGCTCTGGACAGAGCTATGCCGTAGATTCATGAATATTAACAGTACCCTTTTGAAGCACGGTTAAGCTGACTTAACCGCGGGAAATCGAAAGGGATGTAGAAATCCATTCATGTTTCGGGCCAGGTTGAGGGAAGGGATTGTTGGGCGGGAAGGTGACTGAACCAGGCGTTACAGGGTCGTAAACATTCAGTCTAGCCAATGCGAATGCCATTGGGAGATGAGGCGGCCTGGGCAGATGCCCGAGCAATATTTAAGTGAACCTCCGTCACCTATACAGTAGGACTGGTAGACGGTCACCCTGTTGTCATGGCTGACCATTATTCGTATCTCGAGATGAGGATCCTTTGATTGATAGGTATAACCAGGAAGAGAAGCCTCGAGCTACAGTAGAGAATCGTCAACAGCAGGTGTAAAAAAAGGATATCATGTCACGGATCAGCCTATTAAGCATCACAAGGAGCAAAATTGACGCCACTCTATCCAGCAAACTGACATGGCCTTGTTACTTTGTGCATGCGTCCCCTCTCTTCTCCCTCCTTGCCCACCTACCCATAATACTCCTCCAGCCATTTGCACAAGTCCCCGACCGTAGGGTAATCCACAAACAGGCCGCCACCAACCTTGATATCAAGCTCAACTCTGAACTTCTCCGCGAGCACCAGCGACATGAGACTGTCCACGCCGAGGTCTGCGAACCGGACATCATCCTCCAGGTCAGCGATATCCAACGCGCCCTCATTGGCAATGAGCTCAAGAGCTTTACTGACAATGCTGTTATCGTCACTGCACGTCTCGGAGGCGGAGCTGCTCGGGGAGACTTCCACGACAACAGCGGTGGCGGCTTTGAAGTCCTTCGGCGGTCCAGGCATGGCAGTCGGATGAATGACATCGTCTTCACGCAAGCGTGTCGGTTTTGGCAGTTGCTGTTGTGTCTTGGTCTCTGGTTTTACTTGAGCCGGCGCCGGCAGGGTGCCTTGCGGAGCCGCAGCTTTTGCCGGTTTGTCCTCCATCGCCGCCATCTTATCCGGCGGGGAGAAGAACCGGCTGAGCAGAATGCGTGGGTAGCGGCGGAATTGAATTCCACCCACCATGCCCATGATGGCACTATCTTGCATGATGTACACATCGCCCAGGAAGACGGTGGGGTCTTCCGCGGTAGGGATCATCTTGACGTAGGACCGATACTTTGCTCCCTGTGTGAGAGGCTTTGCAAATTGCATGGACTTCCACCCGGGTGTGACGCAGTAGTTGTTCCTGGCATCCATCGCGTCGGAGCAGTTCATGATGAATCCAGCCAGATGTGCCACGCTGTCGATGAAATAAGGCGCCGCGGTCCAGGTGCCGCTCTCCTTCGTAGTCAGCTGCACGTCAGCAAACGCCTCCAGGTCGTGCATCACGACGGCTTGCATGCCGCGATACTTGTCGGCATAGTCGACGAGATTGGCGGCGAAGAGCGTGTATGCCATGTTCCGTGAAAACCGGTTGGCTTGACCTCTTGCCGCCATCTGCTCCAGCGCCTCGATCCGGCTGTGGATCAAGTGGGTAAGAGGGAGCCAGGAGCTGAGCCAGGCAGAAGCATCGCCATAGATGATCTTGGCCGTGGCAAATGGCTCATGCACGTCGCCAGCGTTGTCAACGTTTTGCCAGGTCAACTCGACGACACCAGATTCGATGTTGGCCGTGGCGGCGGTGACCTGGATTAACTGGGGCAATTTCTTGTTACTTTGGGCGACGAGGCCCTTGGTGACCACGAGATCGGCAATGTTCATATTGACGTCCTTTGACTTGGGATAGAGTTTGCGGTACATATAGCTACCAAGGGTATAGGCGATATCGGCATGGATGGACTGTGATCAAAACATCAGAAACGGCGTCTCGAAGGGCTCTCCTTGCAGCAAAGCGACGGGATTTACTTACCGATGTCACAACACCACAGTCATTCATGCGGTGTCCATGAGCTGCAGCAAGGAAATCCGGTTGCATGAGATCGGATTGCATGGTCACCGTACCAGCGGAGCCATTGATGGCCTCCCTGATGATTTGCTGTACTGTCGAAGTCTGCAAATCGCTGACAGGCAGGGGTTTTGGTATTTTCTGTCCTGTTGCAGCCTGTTTCTCGGCCTCGTAGAAAGTATTGCCTTTGGTCAAACACCAGTCACCATTGTACTGGAGCCAGAAGTTCTTCTCGTTCCAGGCGTATGTCGGCAAGTCGAGCAGGCGGAGTCTGCTTTCGAAGGGGTGGTGAAACTCAGTCCAGCCAATTGTGACACCCGCGAGGTGCAATGCAGCCATAGCTTCTGCCATGGTCGCCCAGTTGTCCTCACCGCGCCGAAATGAAGGGACGGCGACAGCAGTGGATGGGATGGAGGTCTTCACGAAATTGGTGCAAACCGGATGAGGGCCAATTTCGACCCAGATAGTTTCGTCATTGATGGTCGAAAGCTCCTGGGCGTTCTCCAGCGCAGGGAAAAATCTCACGGCCTCTCTGGTGGCCCGGCGGACATAGTTCGCATTGAACGACTTGTCATCGAAAACGACTCTGCCTAGCAGGGGCGAGATGATTGGCACTTTCGGCTCCTGAAAGATCACACCCGTCTTCACTGTTGCCTCGAACTCGTCCAGGATAGGGTCTGTCTGTTCAGAGTGGAATGCAAAAGCCACATCCAGCTTAATGCAGCGCAATCCGGCTTTCTCGAGTGGCGCAGCAACTTCATCCATCTGCTGCTTCGTGCCACTGAGCACCGTATCAGAGGGTCCATTGATGCAAGCAATGGTATACGGCTTGTTTGCCGAGTTCTCCGCAATGGTGGCAAGAGAGGCTCGGACGGCCATCATGGTGTGACTCCCAATCGTGCATTTTTCTTGTAGCATCTGAGCCCGGCGGCCTACCATGAATATCGTGTCGGCCGCAGAGACAACGCCGGCCACGTGCATTGCGGCGTATTCGCCCAAGCTGTGACCGAGGACTACATCTGGCTTGACGCCGAGAGCAGCCCAGTATTTGGCCAGAGCCATCTCAGAGCACACCAAAGCAAGCTGGGTCACGACCGGAGAGTGTGCATGATCCTTTGGATGTGATCCATCAAGGGCCGGAATGAAAGTTGGGAAGCCTTGGCCTTGAGCCAGACGATCCAAATGCTGAATCTGCTCGCGGAAGATCGGAACGTCGCGGTACAGTTCAAGGTCCATGGACTTGTTTGAAGCACCTTGGCCGGTGAAGGTGAAAGCAATCATTGGTGGATCGGACTGTGCCAGCGCCTTGACTGAGTCAATCTTCGCCAGGCGCGAAGTGAGCTGCGACCTCAAATGAGCGGCGTCCGAGGTGGTCACTGTCAGGCGGTTGCGGTAATGGTAGCGACGTGCGGTGGTTGTGTATGAGAGATCGGCGAGGTTGAGCTGTGGGTTGGCATCGATATAAGCGATCAGGCGCTCAATGTTTCCTGCCAATGATGCCTTGCTTTTTGCCGATACGGCGACGACATGAGTAGGGCGTGGGTCTCTCTCTGTCGTTGTGCGAGTCGGTGCCTCTTCCAAGATCATGGTCGTATTGCCACCAGCAGCACCGAAATTGTTGAGAGCGACGACACGCTTGGTGCCAGCCTTCTGCTTCCACTGCGTCATCTCGAACGGGATATGAACGTTGCGCTTGTCAAAATCCTTAGGAAGCCGAGGGTTGATCTCCGTTTTAATGCCGATATGTGGTGGAATGGCGTTCTTCTGTAACATCAAGAGCACCTTGATCAAAGCTGTCGTCCCTGCAACGGACTCGCCGTGGCCGACATTTGCCTTGACAGCGCCGATGTGCAGCGGCTGTTCCTTGCTACGCCGCTTGACGAGCGGGGCGTATACGTCCATGATGCCTTGCATCTCCTCGTAGTCGCCAGCCTGGGTGCCAGTGCCGTGGAGCTCCACATAAGAAACATCCAGGGGGTCCACGCCAGATTGACGAAGCACCTGTCGGGCCAAGTATGCTTGATGGCCGGCGTGAGGGTGAGTGATAGAAACGGCCTCAGCAGAATGATTGGTCCCGGCACCGAGAATTACTCCCAAGATGTTGTCGTTGTCGGCCTCTGCGTCTTGAAGACGTTTGATGACGACAGATCCGACACCGTCTGCGCGGCAGTATCCATCAGCGGTGGCATCCCAGGTTTTGCATGCATTATGGCCCTTGGTCAGGAAATGACCATGGCCCAGGCCAGCAAAGCCATCAGGATTTGTGAGCACATTGACGCCGCCCGCGACAGCAGTATCGACATCCCCTTGCCAAAGAGCTTGACAAGCGACCTAAAACAAGATGTCAGCACATTTTACTATCCCCGTTTTGTTAGGGTGAAAGAGAATACCTCAATAGCTGCGAGTCCAGACGAGCAGGCCGTATCTATGCTGTAACTAGGGCCAGCAAACTTGAAGAAGTAATTGATGCGACCAGGACCGAATGCACGACAACCCCCTGGAATGTAGTAGGTGCTGACCTCTTGGCCTTGATTGACCTCCCGGTAATCGTCAGCAGCCTGCCCGTAGTAGGTGCCGATGCGCTCTAACTTGGTGGACGAGGTGCGGTTGCCGACGTAACCAGCACGCTCGAGCGCTTCGAATGCCGTGACTAAAGCCAGACGCATCTGCGGGTCGGCGACTTGGGCTTCACGTGGAGACATGTTGAAGAAAGGCGCGTCGAACAAGCCAGGCTCGTCGATGAAGCATCCGTACTGCGTCATGCTCTTGTTCATCTGCTTGCCAGTCGGGTCGTAGTGCGTGTCAATGTCGAAGCGGTCGGCGGGGACACGTCGAGAGACATCCAAACCCTGTTCGAGGATTTCCCAGAACTTCTCCGTGTTTGTAGCTCCGCCGGGGAGCCTGCATGACATGCCGACAATGGCGAGCTTGGATTGCGCCGAGCCTCGCGGTGACACCGCGGCGGGCGCAGCGTCGGAAACCCATGATACAAGATTAGTGACGGATGCTTCAAGTTGGGGAAGACTGGATTCCAAGGACACTTTGAGGTCGTTGATGAGAATTGAGTTGCCGAAGCAGGAGAGCGCCACCTGGCTGGCACCAGCACTTTGGAATTGAGTGACCACGCCCTGGATAACCTGGTCCCAGCAGATCGCCTGCGTGAGTAGCTCTGAGATAACGCATTCATATAGCTCTGCCGCATTCGAGGCATTGAACGGCACACCGGTGCTGGTCGAATAGATCGGCACGACAGGCCCGGGTTTTGCGAGGTTCGCGTCCAACGAGCTACCCCGGACAATACTCTGAACGTCCCGAGAGCCGTAGACATGAGGCGCATGGCAGAGACCACCATAGACGGGCAAAGCGATAGATCTGGAGTCCCGGAAGAATTCTGACCGAGTGAATAGGGCCTTTAATCTCGAGGGCGGTCCACTGACGGTGACTGAGGTTCGGCTGACAGCACTGAGGAATATCTTGCTGGTGCCAGGGATCTTTTCTCGCGACTGGAGTGCATCGAGCGCCTGCTGTGTCGCGACAGGATCAACGTTGTGTATCACGTAGGCCCATGTCTCTGGAGCTGCTGCGAGATCGCGAGATTCCAAGTTCTCGGAGACGGCGAGCACGTGGCAGCCCATGCGGAAAGCGAGACGCACAGCATCTGCACCGGCCCGTGGCAAATCGACCACGGCGGAGGACAGCGACACGGCAGTCAGTGCCAGTAAGCCGATGCCTAGGCCCGCCAGAGATGTCTGATCCAATCTCGCCAGCTCGTCCGGATGATTCTCCACATATCTGGAACGGGTCAGATCTGGACGTCTTCATCGTCTCCGTTGATGGAGATCACCTACCCAATGTATATCGCAAGCTGGACAACCGTAAGCAGCACTCCATCGACGGCACCACATATGAGTCCCTCCCGCAGCTCAGTGTTCTCAGCCCACGTAAGGATACTGTCGAACGGTGGGATCAACTGCTTCAGCTCTGTCGAGAGGTGCCGGATTTCATCCTTGATGGCGAGTGTAGCCTCGTGGATAAACTGAGCGAGAATGGTATGTCGTCTGTCCTTGCTGTGGTTGTGGAGGCAACGAAAGAGGTGCTGGAGATCCTCCTTTGGAAACTCATTGCTGAAATAGAGGAGCTTCATGTTTCCGATGTCGGTCTCGAGATTAAGCCAACCTTGGCAGACGCGGCGTGCCAATCGACATCAGTGAGGAAGGAGGAATATTCAGACAAAGACCTCATGTGTCTCGCTTTCACTGAGCACATTCGATGCTTCAAGAACCAGGGATAGCCATCTTGTTAAACCCACGCCGGGCTTGACCGTCCCATCAGTCCACCGGAACTCCGGCCCGCGATTTGACAATCGGGTTGTATCCGCGCGTGGGAGACCTCTGAGGACGATTTCAGTCCGTGACCTCCACGTGGGAAGTCCCTCGACTTCGGATGAAACCCTTCATGCAAGCTTTGGAGAGGACTGCGGCTCGATGGATTCACCGTGGATCAGTCTTCTCGCCGACCCCCGTCTCTGCAGGGCATCAGTTAATGACCCGTTCTGAATTGACCCGAGTGCTGACTGGTTGATAATGAAGATTGCTTACTTCGACTTGTGGATATAGCTCCTTGACTAATCTAGAGATGATGTGCTCATGGAGACGCCTGGCGGGTAATCGTGAAAGAACCCGTTCGCAGCAGTTCTATTCGTGTTGAGCGCCGACCAACGGGACTTCTACAAACTTTCCAAAGACAAGATGATACTCGATGGGCTACTGTGCACACCTCCCAGAAGATGGAAACCTAAAAGAGAAGTCGACGGGGCCATCAGGAGGAAGGTAGCAACCTCCCACGAATGCACAGTTGCGGACATTGATTCGCCTTGGTCTGTGAGTAACGGCGCAACTCATTGCTAAGCAGATAAGCAACAAGACTCAGCACAAGGCAAATACCCCGAAGACGGTCAGCACCAGGATATAACCAATGTTAAAGGACCGACGATTTGTGAGAAATGGCCCGAGACGACTGCTTCGTCAGAACAATCCTCTTGATACGCCACCGTCTCAAGCATACATCATAAAAGAGTCCCTGAACAAGGAACACGATCTTTGCATCAAGCTCTTGTGTGGCTTCCACTGACTTTTAGGTCAGCCACCAGCTCCTCTCTTTACTTGTAGCTCGGAGCACAAAGGAGGGTCTGACCCAGTTAGCTAATATGCAGGACGAGAAAGGAGGCTACAAGCAGATCAACAAGGCGTTGAATATCTGTGTCTTCGAAGATTATCTCAAGGGTCAGACCGCAGCACTTCCGCATGTACCAGACGTCGAGCAGCTCACTGACAGAGTCATTCGCATATTGGGCCAGAATCCAGGAAAGGTAGATACATCCTCGAAATGGCCTCCAATCGACTGACACCCTCGTACAGTTTACCTTTCAAGGTACCAACACATACGTCGTCGGTACTGGTAAACGCCGGATCTTGATCGATACCGGCGGCGGTGAGCCAAAATGGGCGAGGCTTGTTCAATCCACGTTGGCGTCAAGCGGGATTAGTCTGTCCCACGTCCTCTTGACTCACTGGCACGGTGACCACACCGGTGGAGTTCCCGATCTGCTCCACATGTATCCTCATCTCCGGCACTCCATCTACAAGAATGACCCGGATCAGGGACAGCAGGATATCACCGACGGTCAAATCTTCCGCGTCGAAGGCGCCACTGTCCGTGCCATCCACGTGCCAGGGCACTCGGAAGACCACATGTGTTTCATATTGGAGGAAGAGCGGGCCATGTTCACGGGTGACAACATCCTGGGACATGGCACCAGCGCGGTAGAAGACCTGGGGGTCTTTATGGCTAGCCTCCAGAAAATGTACGACCAAAAGTGCCTCGTCGGTCACTCTGCTCACGGTGTCACCATCCAAGACCTCCCAACCAAGCTCAGAGGGGAGTTGGAAGGGAAATTACGTCGCGAAAGACAGGTCATGAACGCTCTCGGTCGGGTCCGTAGCCGTGGCGAGAGAAGTGTGGCGGTCAAGGATCTCGTCACGGAGATCTACGGCCGTTCTCTCGACGAAGAGACTCGCACTCTGGCACTGGAGCCATTTATCGACGAGGTGCTGCGGAAACTCGCCGGTGATGGGAAAGTCGCCTTTGAGATAAGAGGGCGTGTGAAGAAGTGGTATTCTGTGGCTGCGGCTCGCTTGACGCCGAAGGAGGTCAAGATGCCTTCAGCTGTTGTGGTTCAGGTTCAGGAGATTTTAGTAGAGTGACAAGAACCCCTTTGCCCTCAGACTGCTGAATACTTGCCCGGTGCTTCTCGTCGTTGTTGCCACCAGACCGAGTTGATGTTGGACCATGTCTTCCCATCGGGGAGGGGCACAGTCTGGAAGTTAGTCTCCAGGACAGTATTCCTGCACAAACGCTGGTGAACGAGGGCAGCGTCGATTTCTCTATGGACTGGTTGCCCCCCAATGAGAACTGCTCTATGTTGACCATTTCAAAGGGCAAAGCCCGGCGATTATCATGGCAGTGGTTGGAGATGTCTTGGTCGAGCAGGTGATTGACGCCTGCTGGGTTTCGCGCCGCCAGACCGTTCGAGTATATGCTGGCAGTGGTGCTACGTCTCCTGACCCTACGGAGTACGGAGATACACATGCGAATTTAGGGTCTTCGGGTCTTATCGACGCCCGGGCGTCGGAAATTGCACCCGAAACGACCCCCCAGCCTCTCCGGTCACTCCGGGCCTTTGTCCCGTCTTCTGGCCGGCCGGTGCTCCCCTCCCATTTGGTAGGTATGGGACATTTCGGTCTTTCGGACGCCCTTAACGGCCGCCCAAGTCGCGAGGTCGGGCCCCGTTGTCCACGACCACGGCCGACAATTCTTGTTGCACGCCGAATGTCCCCCATTACCGTCAGGGCTTAATGAGGTGGGGGCGTCGAATGGCCCGATGGGATTCAATCCTCGCGCACTCCGCCTAAGGCCACTCCCTACGCATGTGCACGGTCTACTGTAGTTAGTCGAACGCGATCAAGCCGAGACATTGTGGATTTGGCCCCGGTGATTACCAAGTGGGACGTCAAAACGTTCCTGTTCAGTCGCCGCGGACATGGACACAGGCGTACTGACTACAGCAGACAACAACCCATTACGCAGGTCCAGGAATGAAGCACCACCCGCTGCGCCGGCTCCGTCGCTCTCTGTCGGTCCAAGCAACAACAATAACAAAAACAACAATGACGACTCGACAGAGACGACTATGCCATATACCTGCCAGACGTGTGGCAAACGGAAAGTCAAATGCGACAAGGCGAAACCAGTCTGTTCGAGCTGTCATAAGAGCAAGCTGGAATGTGTCTATCAAGCGCCTCAGCCCCGGCGCCGCAAACGAAAGCTGAGCGACATTGTCCATCAAAGGCTCGATCAATATGAGCGCATCTTGGCGCAGCATGGCCTCCTGCCCCACGACACGACTACGTCGACGCCAAATGACGAGCCACTACAGGCGCAAGAGCCGGCCCCTTCCACCGGGCAACCAGCGTCTGATTCCGGCGCGTCGAGAATGGGGAAGCTGGTAGCTGGCGAAGGCAAATCAATCTACCTCGACAGTCAGCTTTGGCGCAATCTTGGCGGGGGTCAGAAGCGAGGCGTAGCTGACGACGACGACGACGACGACGACGACGACGACAACGACACCGAGGAAGAAGAAGGCGAAGCAGGAGAGGCAGAAGGAGAGGATCCATCAATGTCTGCCGTTCTCGGCGATTTTGATTTTGCGGGCGACCCGTTGACCGGAGCGTTCATGGGCTCGAACACCAGTTTGCCGCAGAATCTGACGCAGTATCATCCCCGCCACGCGGAAGCCATGATCCTATGGCAGACGCATGTGGAAAATGTCGAACCCATCTGCAAGATCCTCCACGTTCCAACGACATTTCAGATGCTGGACCGCGTGTCACGAGAACCCGAGACAGTGTCGAGAGCAGACGAGTGCCTGCTGTTTGCCATCTATCACTTTGCCGTCTTCTCGCTGACAGAGGATGACTGTGCCAGGAAATTTGGCCAGGCGCGGAACAAAATGCTGCAGAGGTTTCACTTTGCGACGCGGCAGGCTCTGGTCAACGCTTCCTTTCTGCGAACCACCGAGATGTCCATCTTGCAGGCTCTCGTCCTGTTCCTCATTCCCGGTCGCTTCATCTACGACCCACACACATATTGGATCCTAACGGGAGTGGCGATCCGCATCGCCCAGCGCATGGGTCTTCATCGTGATGGCGAGCAGTTGGGCTTGCATCCATTCGAGGTGCAAATGCGCCGCAGGCTGTTCTACCAGCTCCTGCCGCTCGACGGCATTGCCAGCAAGATGTCCGGCACGGGGATCGCCACCATGACAGACCCATGGGACACCCAGCAGCCATCGAACATCCACGACGACCAGATCTGGCCCGGCATGACGGAGCCACCCCAGGAGCGGAAGGGAGCCACGGACATGATCTTCTGCCTGACACGTGCATTTGTCGGAAAGGCCATGGCGCGAGCGGAACAATCAAAACACGACACGCAGAGCGAGGATGATGCTGAGCTCCTGATTGCCGAGACCGAAAGCCAGGTCGAGGAGAAGTATATCCGCTATTGCAACGTCGTCGACCCCCTCCACTATCTGACGGTCTGTCTGGCGAGATCGGCCATCACGGCCATGCGTCTCCGGGCGCGACTCCCCAAGGATAAGAACCAGGCCATCACGGACACCGAGGCACGGGAACTGTTCCAACTGGCACAGGACATTCTTCAGACGGATCTGGCCGCGTCGGCGAACACGAGCTTGAGGAGATATCGATGGCATTTGAGATCCTTCTTTGTATGGGGCTCGTGGGACTCGCTGATCTTTACCATCACGAGCCTGCAGAAGCCCGACCTGCTTTCGCCCGCGACTACGGACGCCGCCTGGAGGAGGGTAGAGGAGCTGTACAACAACCACGGCGAGCTCCTCGAGTCGAAACAAGCCCTGCACATCGCCATCAGGCGCATCACGCTCAAAGCCTGGGCCGCGAACCCACCCCAGAACCGAGTGCCCGAGCCGGCCTTTATCACCGAATTGCGCTCCCTCCGTAGAATGGGCCGCAAGGGCAGGCCAGACAGACAAGGTAGTAATGTAACTCCCACCCCCGGAATGGCGGATACAGTCGATCAGACGCCTTCCAGCGATGCCAACGCCCTCTTGAACAGCCTGTCCGGTGTCCCCGGGCTTGATATAATGGATGACTTCAGCCTCGACACGGTCGATTGGACCTTTTGGGACCAGCTGATTCAAGGCTATCAGGCGCAGGGTGGCCAGTAAAACGCTCTGCATGCGGTCTTTATCTTGCATCCTCTTGTTTCAGATACTTGGGACGGTGCTATGACAAAAGTGCACATCGCTCGAGTTGGAGGATGTACTGTATCGGTAATCGCGGAACGAAAAGCACATGCACGTGTTCATCGTCTCCTTGGTTGTTCAGCCATATTCCACAGCCGTTATTTCCATTCGGTACACCGCTTGCATGCTTGATGAGACCATCCATGCTGACTTACCCTGCGACGACGGATCTCTGGGCGTATCTCTCACTATCCCGGACGAAGATTGCCCATGTCCTGGTGCCTCGGGGCCGAAGTATCCGGTAGTCATAGATACCGCGCTGTCAGTGGGCATCATGTCGGGCCCTTCAACGGCCGAGGAAACACGCAAGAACATCGCCCGAGCGCCCGGACGGTTCGAGAGGGGAGGAGTGTCGACCGAGTGTATAAGGTGCAGGGAGGCGGTGATAACGAGGACCCGGTCTCTACCATCCCCATCGATCTGCCCGAGTGAGCTTATTGCCGTGGCTTAATGCCATGGTCGTTGAGAGTCTGATGAAGGCGCGAGAGAGCCGGTGTACAGTGCTATCTCCTGTTTGGCGTTAAAATGTCGGCCGAGGTGGGAATATGATGCTGTGGATGCCGGCCTTGGGCCCTTCTTCGTCTCCGGATCTTGAATGCCCGAGGAATCGGGTGGTGTGAAAGGCCGTCGTCTTCCTTTGCTATTCAACATCCGGGCGATGCGCCGGCTTGTTCGCTTTCTTCTCTTACACCATAGAGCGTGTTCGTCCGGAAGGCGAATCGCACGCAACATCCGTAGCTTTGAAGGTCCTGTGGCACGGTGCTGTCAACAATAACAGCTTGCCGGGTGTTTCACGCGCTGTTGGTTCCCCGAGCGCTGTTTTGTGCAGAACTTAAGGGAGAAAGTTAGATCTCCTGTAGATCGAGGTTGAGATTGGGTTTCATGCTTGTCGTCTGCAACTTGCCACTCGGATCTAAGTGTCCTCACGGGTTACGGGAATGATCTAGTCACCTGGATGCTGATTGATGACAACGTAGCAGGCGACGTCTAATAATGTTGCCTTGGTCTTCCTCAGGGTGTTCTAGGACCCGGACCCCCGGGTGTTTGTCTGTCTCCTCCCCCGAAACCCTGTGGAGCGATCAAGGTCGAGATCGGCTTACCAAAGCAAACCTCGTTATTCATTCAAAGCCGGGTGGCGATCGCAGTCCATTTCGCGGTAACGGGGAAGATGGTGATTCGACAAGATCAACGGTCCGTTGGTGTCGCGCGACACAGTTCCTCGGCCGCTGCAAAAGTCCATGATCTCATGACTACTCTTCCCGTGTCCTTTCGACCAGGTATATTTAAAAGAGCAGACCTGAGTGTCTGGTAATCCAGTCCTGCTCTCCTGGTGTTGCCACACACCCTCGGCGGAAAGTCCAGAGCCAAGACGTCAAACCAGCAACGGTCAAAGCATATAATCCATTAAGGACCAGACCATCTAACGGCAGACCTTAGCAGAGAGGTAGTCCATTCATTCTGATGTTCAACTGGTGCGGCTGTCCCAACTCTTCCCGGCGCCGTTTCAGCTCGTCTACATCCCAGTTGGCCCACAGATATTTGTTGCGAAGAAACTTGGCCTCCGGACTAACTGCCCACAAGACAAACTGGCCGGCAAGGTCAGCTGAAAGAGAGATTTCAGTCAGTAAACCGTCCTGTCCCGAGTTGCTGCTCTGGCTCTGCCAGTAAATGAGATCCAACTCACCTGAATCCATCGCCGTCATACCAGCCTTGCGACTCAACTCGCTACGGACCACTCCGGGATGAATATAAACGACATGGAGACTCTCGTTTTCAGCCGCGACTGTCTCATACACCTTCGTCGCCGCCAGCTTGGATGAAATATAACTGGAAGCACCGGGCTTGGCTGGCATGTGGACAATGCCTGAAGAAATGTCCACGAGATAGGCTTCCGGCGCCGCCACAGCCAGAAAGGCGCGCGAGGTGTTGAAGGCCCCCTTTGTGTTGACCTCGAAGCCTTTCCACCACTCGTCAGGATCGGCTTCTGGGATTGAACTGAACCTGGGGAGATATCCTGCATTGGCGACCGCGACGTCTACCTTGCCGAATTCTCTCTCGATGGTTGCAAAGGCACTATGGATCGAGGGACCATCTGAGATGTCGCCGCGGACGGCCAGCACCCGCGCCCCCAGGCATTCGATCTCTCTCTTGGCGTTGCTCCAACGGTCAACCGAGCGGCCGACGATCGCAATGCGTTCGGCGCCGGCACGAGCAAAGGCCCTGGCCACAGCTATGCCGATACTGCCTTCTCCACCTGTGATGGCGATGACTTTACCCTTGGCCGATAACTCCGGTCGAGTTGGATCAATGGACGGGTAAGGCTCCGAATGCCATTCTTTGGTCAGTGATGGGAAAGGGGCCATTTGCTTACCGGCCGGGAGGAGTGTGGGGTGGTTGCTCAGTGGTCCTTGTGTCAGTTCCGCTTACACTTGTCTCAGGAGAGGCCAGACATAAATCGTGGCTCAATTGAACCAGTCCCACCGGAGACCCCTGGGCGCCGATCGGGCCGGGTCATTTGGATTGGATTGAAAAGGATGTTGAACAGATCCCGAGATCAGCCGCCGGCTATTTCAGCCAGAGACTTGCTCATTCGAATACAGACCCTCGACACATTCTGGCAGAATCATGCAGGCAGGTGTTGGCCCTGCATTGGAGGTTAGCTAACATTTTCTTATGCTGTTCCAGGGCCTGCTACAGACGAATCGTTTTATTCTGCCACAAGCGAGGGCGAGCATCTCGCCATCCATCAAGCCACATATCTACAGGGTACCATTCCCAGAGCCAGTCATTGCTTGTTATTGCTTCTGTTGGAACCCTATCAAGAAACCTTCCCCTACTGACCCCCTTGCCTCATCGGGATAGAGGATCGTCCTGCAAGCGATTACGCCCTGCATGTCTTATCGGGATTAGTGCAATGTTCGGCACATTCTCGACAGATCGGTGGCGTACGGGCTATAGCGTCGGACCATTCCATGAGTCGGCTACGAGTACGAGGTACTCAGAGCCCAACGACTTTTCGCTTGCCCATCGAGTACCCTGGCAATTGCAGTTCGATATGTCGTTGACGCGGGAATTGTCTCCATGTGTCACGGCCCGGGTCGACGACAACTGTACGAGCGGATCTCCGTGTCCCTGGCGCACTGGATTGCTGTGGAGCTGTCATGCCGGTAAGTCATCTGGTTCGGCCCCCGTCGGATATGGATATGAATATTCAGAAACCCATCATCAGCAGGAAATATCAGCCGATGGGAATTTGCGAATGAAATCCCATCGGCTGCTATTTCCTCGGGCTCGACTGTCAATCCTTGCTTACACTAGGTGCAACGACCAACTAGTATTTGTGCTAATGCGCAGCCTATCTAAGACAGTCGCTTTTCCTGTTCTTGCCGGATTGTCAGACTGATCAGTACAGGGGTGCAAGACTGTGAGTACCTCGTACTGAACAGGATTGATCAGGGGGATGACCACAGGCCTAGCGCAATCTGTTGCGAGAGCTCGCACATGCAAGGCTTTGCTAGTCCTCGCAACACGGCGCGCAAACGGAGGATCGTGCGGTCGATCCCTTATCACTGCCGTATGTCTGGACACTTGACTGGTACCAGCGAGTACATCTCCCCCACTCTCCCCAAGAGCATGTTGGAAACATGAAGGATCTCGAAGGATCTCGTAACTGCAAAGACATGCAGTGGCAGGGATCACAAAACGAGACTTGACAAGCACTACTGGTGTAAAAGGTTAGCAGGGGCCACGTGGGGCGAACGAGGACTGATGAGAAGTTGTACACGTAGATCTTGCCCATGGTGTCGAAGGTGTGTTGTTGGCGAGCATGCGGACACAACTGCCCGAGGACCCTCCAAGGCCTTAGCGAGGCTTGTCACCTTCCTTTCGGGTGATTACTAGAGGATAGCACCCGAACTCGGGTGATTCTCAGCCGGCCGATGTTGACGGCCCCCCGAGCCCCATAATCCCGCCGAGATTCCCCACGATCAAGATGATTCGGTCGATCCGCGCGTTTGTGGGGAGCAAACCTTATCGAGCCCGCGGCGCCGGAGCGTCAAGCAAAAGCTTGAACGCCTTGCATGAGCTTAACATTATTTGGCAATGGGGGTCGCTGGTCCCAGAGGTCCTCGACGAATCAGCTCGCTCTGGAGCTGTGAGGGCCAGATTAGATTATCACCAGCAAGCAGGATGTTTCCTCTATCCACGGTGGATGAAGACCTCTTTTGCTGGCTGGCGTCGTGGTTAGTGCTGACCACCCATACGGCTGCTCGTATTGCATGATCTTGATTACACCGGTTAAATAAGAAGAGACTGTTTGCATCGGTGAAGTCTCACCTGGATCTCGATCTCTTCTTTGCCCAAGCCAAGACCTTCCGCTTTGATACACTCTAACATGGCCGCCACCAATCCACCTTCAACGGCCCATGCCGCCAGCGCCGGTTCCACTGTCTCGCTAGAACTCCCGCTGCGTAACAGCTGTGATGCTTGTGCTTCAGCCAAGTTGCGGTGTACCAAGGAGAAGCCAACCTGCCACCGCTGTGCCAAACGAGGTCTTACCTGTGAGTATGTGGCCATCAAACGAGCCGGCAGGAAGCCTGGCAGTCGGTCAAGTGTCAATGAAGGCTCTACCAACTCCAGCACGGGCCGACCACGTCCACCGCAAAGAACGCAGTCTTTGCAAAGCAGCTCCGTGCCCATCCCTACAGACAAGCTGAATGAACAGCTGGCCATGCTGAACCAGTCCCTTCCCACGACTTTCGTTGACCTGGATACAGCCTCAGATGTTTCCTTCACCATCGACGGACCCGAATTCAACTTTCTCAACACGGCGGAGCTCTTGTCAACCCACGTCGACGGAGGGGCCAGCAATTGCAGCTGTAGCAGTCTCAGCAGCACCAGCGCGAGTTGTGATAGCAATGATGGTGGCGGGTGTAACAGGCATGACAGCTTTTCGACTGCTTTGCCCAGCCTCGAGACTACCGTGCCAGAGTTTTTGGCACTCTCGTCACCCAACGCTGCCGGTTGGAATTCCGCATTCCCGGAGCTGGATCTGACCGAGACGTCGTGTTCCTGCCTGACCGAAGCCACAAGTTTCATCACACAATTATCCCACTTGTCATCGACAGTCTGCAATACCTGGGCGATACTCGACCTGGACAACGTCACGATCCTCCGAGTGGTACTGGACGTGGTCGAACAAAACAAGGTCACAATCAACGCTGTGAGCGCCATCTTGAACTGCCCCAACTACCACGACGGATGTCTCCTCGCCATCATCTCATTCGTCATTTTCAAAATGCTGAGCCTGTACGCCGCCATTGCGTGCAAGGACCCTAATCTCCAAGACCTCCGAGAGCCCGGTCTTACGCGTCCGACACCGCAGTCTGAGTCTGCGCTCCCAAGCCCTGCTGGCTTCGTGGACAACTACAGCATGGAAAGAAGTGATCCTCAACACATGGCCCGGCGCATTGTCCTTGGCGAGCTGCATCGCTTGCGCCATCTGATTGCGCAACTGGTGGAAAAACTTAAATCTCAGTCAGTAACACAGGAGAGCGGGGAAGGCGCAAAGACACAGGAGAGTATGGATCTGGACTGCGAGATGAGAGCGCCTCTGTCATCAGTCATGTACGAACAATTAGACCTCGATCTCCGACGACGACTGAAAGCACTCTCATGGGCCATCGTGGATCGTATGACTCGACTCTAGAGCTTTGTGTTTTCTATTTCGGACTGGCGTCCGGGAACGGCGCTGGTCTGAGGCCGTTGGAGCGGCTCGGCGCAACCCTGCAGGGTGCCAATGTTATCGGGCAATCTTGCGGCAAAGGCGAACACCGAGACGACAAGAGAGCCACGCACGATACCCCTGTCCTTGGCTCGGTGTTTGGAGTTTGGCCTCCGCCACGTTTAAATCTCAGCAGATTGATAGTGGATGCAGATCCATTCGGGTTGGATCGGTTGGGTGACTCTGGCTAGTACCCAATCTGATGGCAAGCCCTGTGTATAGGTTCTGCGGGACATTTATTACACCATGGTTGATTGAACAAAGTCAATCGGTGCACACGGATAGCCCACACTTCCAACTTGAGAACCCTTCAGCGTTTAGCTCTGCTGGAAAATGCTGTGGCTGACAGTCGGAAGCGAAGGGTCAGGGAACGGTTATCAACAGCCGGCTGATAGAGGGTACGCATCTGGAGCGTCCAGGACGACCCGTCGGCCGGAGAATTGCTGCTGGTCAATGGGCATGTTCATGTGCTTCCAATGTCGAGATTCGGATCCTTTAGAGCTGTATTGCAGTCATCAATGGATAAGGTAGGGTGGCATTCGCGTCGATGAATGATTTTCAACTTCTGCTCCTGACCCGAAGCATGCAAGACGTGATGCTTCACAGTTCGGTAGATTTTCAAAAATTACTTGTTGTTTATGACGTAACTGTCTATTACGTGCAGGGTCCAGTGCTCCCCCGAACTGACTACGGTGAGATATACACCCACGTGCGACATCGGCTCTCGAACACCAGGAAATCAGCGGAATGATCGTCTACTGTACAGTCCCACACGCGGTAAATGAATTGCTGTACAGGACATTCAGCTCCCAAATCCCTGTTGTACAGCGTGAATGACTTTATGCTTGGGAAGAGGTCCTCACTTCCCAGGCCTAGCCGGCAACATCAGGGCTAGTTTCAGCGATGATACCTCACTCAACATGCTGTAATTACGCAGTACCATCGCTGGTGATAAAAATGTCTGATAGAACCCATCACGTGATCGTTGCACTTGACTTCACTGGTGCTTCGAAAGCCGCCGTGCGCCCTCTGCTTGTCAGACTATGGACATGCCATGGCCATGAAGCCTGACCACACATAATCATCTTATCAAGAGCAGGTCGCCATCCGCTGTCCTGCACGAACGGCTTCTGCCCCAGAGGAAGTTAATCTTCCTTCGGCCAGTTTGAGCTGGCCAAAGTGGTGTTCTCGATGTACCCGAGGTGAATCCAGAGGGTGTAGACAATCAAACTGTAAAGGGCTTGGCTTGGTAGGCCAGGAGTAGCACGGGCGGGAGACTGTATCACTTTGTCAAATCACGGCCCCTAGTGCAGTACACGGGACAGAGGTCGAGTTGCCAAGTCCAGCCGAGAAACGTCTTGCAGCCAGATTCGTGGCACCGTAAAACGACGTCCGATAACCGGCGAGGAGACATTCATTCCGCAACACCACCTCTATTACTTACCACTTGAGAACTTCATAGCCGCCTGGTTCTCTGGCACGGCCCGAAGATCTTGATACTTATGAAAGATGACCCGCTGCACAAGCGAAAGTGTCAGCGGCCCAGCCGATTGCTGTGGTGGCTCCGTGGAAAACCCATCAACTCTGGATGGTTGTGGTGGTGATGAATGTTGTAGTTCATCAGCTCAAGGAGGCGCGGGAGACCATTGCAGCGAGGATGATCGATGCGATGGTATTGAGCCAGCACTTTGCAGCGACCCTCTGCTGACCGAGACCTGCAGAAACCTGCATCAAGGCCGCAGCAGCCTTGGAGTGCTCCATGGCGTGCGTCGACCAGCAAGATGCGTGCCCCAGCGGCCCAACCGGCACCGAAATCGAGAAGAATACTCGACAGGTGGAGTGTAGCTCTGCTCATCTTCATGTTTCCGAGCAGAAGTCGGGGGAACATTCCCGCATCAACGCACCACACGATCATGCTCATGGAGAGGATGGAAACCATCTTCATGAGCCTTGCACCGCCCACCTGAAGGCTGCCATGGAAAAATATGCTGCATACCTTGAATCAGCTCGGTGCATCTGTCGCAATATTCTTTTATCGGCTGCGCGAGTTGAGTCGTGCTGCCCCAGGTCTTCAGTTGGCGGCGTAACTGCACTCGGAACCTTGCGCAGACATCATCTTGATTCGAGGGGCTTGGAGTCCGTCTCGACTCGCTGCTGTCCGAAGAAGCCATCTGTGCAATCAGCATCAGCACAGGCTAAGATCAAGTGCTCTGACAAGAGTCAGGATGTCGATAACATTGTACGTCAGCCTAGGGCTGATGCGGAAGTGACTGCATTGGATATCGAGAAGGCAGGAGGCCTGTCACATGTCCTCCTCAACGTCGCAGGAATGGACTGTTCCGGCTGCGCAAACAATTTGACACGAGCGCTTCACGATGTGGCGGGTACCAAGAACGTCAACGTGATTTTCATCAACGGGACTGCTGAATTTGACCTGGACACCGAGGTCAACAGTCTGGCCAACGTGATCCGCAGTGCCCAACAAGCCACTCGGTACAAGCTGACGCCATTCTCTTCCGACACGCAAAGCATCGTCGTCACTATGGACGCGAGAGACGCAGACAAGTTTTGCGGCCACTTACCTCGAGGAGTCGACCACTGCGAAAAACTTTCGAAGACAACTTATGAGATCAGCTATGACCCCTGCATCGTTGGTGCCAGAGAAGTCCTTGCCGGCATTCATGCGCAGCTCGGACCTCCACCCAGCAAATCCGTTGCCGATACAGGAAAGCGGAGGCTGATCCGCGTCTTTGCATTGACCGCCGCGGCCTTCGTCCTGACAACGCCGGTTGTTGTACTCGAATGGGGACGTCCTTCCGGTATTTCCGAGCATACTACCTTGATAATTGCTGTGGTCCTCGCCACGATGGTTCAAGCAATTGCTGTGCCAGAGTTTTATATGCCTGCCATGTCGTCCCTGATCTACAACAAGATGGTAGAAATGGACATGCTCGTCGTGATCAGCATTACCGCCGCATACTTCTACTCCATCATTGCAACTGGTTTCTTCTTCGCCGGTGTCGAGCTAGAGACTAGACCATTCTTCGAAACAAGCACTTTACTGATCACCTTGATCTTGCTTGGTCGACTGCTTGCGGCCTGGGCTCGAAAGAGAGCAGTGGAGGCAGTCTCCTTGAGGTCGCTGCAGGCGTCCACGGCCATGCTCATTGACCACAGAACAGGCGGAGCCATTGAGATCGATGCTCGTTTGCTTCAATATGGGGACAGCATTGCAATATTACCACATTCCCGGATTGTCACCGATGCTGAAGTGCTTGAAGGAACCAGCGAAGTAGACGAGTCGATGCTCACAGGCGAGAGCCTTCCCGTGTTCAAGACTCCTGGAAAATCCCTCGTCTCAGGCACCATCAACGGCGGCGGCAGGCTGGTAGCACGGGTGTCGCGCTTGCCGGGAAGAAACACCATCGCCGACATCGCCAACTTGGTCGAGAAGGCGCAAGGGTCCAAGCCGCACGTACAGGACTTGGCTGATAAGGTAGCCGGATATTTCGTCCCAGTGGTTTGCACGGCAGCCGTTATCGTTTTGATCATCTGGATCGTCGTTGTGCTGAAGCTACGAAAACAACCCGCTGGTGATGCCATCGGAACCGCAGTAGGCTATTGTATCGCCGTTTTAGCCATTAGCTGTCCTTGTGCGCTGGGGATTGCAGTGCCGATGGTCTTAGTGGTTGCCGGAGGTGTAGCCGCTCGCGGTGGGGTGATCATCAAGACTGCAGATGTCATCGAACGCGGCTTCAGAGTTACTGACGTGGTTTTCGACAAGACCGGCACGCTCACTGAACCAAGCCTCGAGGTCGTCGCGGAGATGATCATTCCCACGAACCAGGCTACCGAAGAGGTCGTGCTCTCCATCATTATGGCCATCGTTAGGGGTACCAAACATCCTGTATCCGAAGCTGTGGCAAGAGCCCTTGACGGACGTGGGATACAGAACATCGAGATCCATGGGCTAGCCTCCATACCGGGGTGCGGGGTCAAAGCGCAATGGCAGGGACTGACAATTCGTGCCGGCAACGCGAAGTGGCTCAATCTCGGCGAGACACCTTTAGTCCTCGAATTTGCAGCCCAGGGGTTGACCATGCTGTGTGTCATGATTGGCGATCATCAGGTTGCACTTTTTGGCCTCAAAGCCAAGCTTCGAGAAGGTGCGGTAGGGGTGGTTCGAGAACTCCAACGCCGCCACATTGCTGTCCACATCGTGAGTGGTGATGCGGGCAGGGTTGTTGAAGACGTCGCCGCGGAAATTGGCGTTCCTCGGGAGAACGTCGCGGCAGAAAAAACACCAGCGGAGAAGCAGGAGTATGTGCGCCAGCTCATGGAAGCCGGAAAGATCACACTCTTCTGTGGAGACGGAACGAACGACGCGGTCGCCGTGGCACAGGCCCATGTGGGTGTTCAGATCGAGTCTTCATCAGACGTCACCCGTGCCACAGCGGACGTTGTTCTTCTTCACAGTCTCGACGGCGTGGTCAGTCTGCTTGATGTCTCGAAGGCGGCCTTTCGACGGATCACGTTCAACTTCGCATGGTCAGCTGTGTATAACGTGCTAGCGATCTTGCTGGCGGCAGGAGCTTTTGTCAAGGTTCGCATTCCGCCAGCATACGCGGGTCTTGGGGAGATAGTGAGTGTGTTGCCGGTCATTGTTGCTGCTTTGACTCAACCGAAACTCAAGGCGAAGAAGTGAAACGGCTTTTCGGGGTCAGGCGATCAGGAGAGCATTGTCTCCGGAGAGTGTGTGACGGCTGTGTATGTTCCAACCACGTGTCGCTCATTTCATTGGAGGCACTCATTCAAGCCTCTCTTTAGTAGTACTGTGTAGTCACTCTTTCTAAACACATGCAAATTGGAATCAGAGAGGACAAACCTGGTGCAAATGGTCAATAGCCCGTGTCTACGCCGAGCCAAATTGAGGACCTTAAGAAAGTGAGTAGCGCCAACCGAAAGGAGAAGGCAGGCCGGCAGCCACGAACGATGTCTTTGCTCCGCCGAAGTGCGGTGGAGCCGGGTACGGCAGGCTGTAACCACAGCCACGACATCAAACTTGCGAACTCACGCGTCGCTCGCTCAGACGGAGGCTGTTTCTGCCTGTCGCAACTGCCTCTTCCGCGCCTCAAGGTATCTGCGACTCAGTTCTTTGCGCCTATCTCAGTGACCTCAGCGGCTCTGCTTCTCCTCTGTCCCCTAAGCTGAAGCCTTACAAGAGGAAGTCTAACCCTGGCAGCATGTCTGGGCTCTTCGGTACCGCGGCCCCATCCACTACGACAAGCACAACCGGAGACCTTTCGAAGGATGTCGCATTAGTACAACCACCCGAAGACAGCACCTCGCATCTTGCGTTCTCCCCTACCGGCGACTTTTTGGCAGTGTCATCATGGGACAAGAAAGTGCGGATATACCAGGTCAACGAGCAGGGCCAAAGTGAAGGCAAGGCCTCGATGGATTTCGAGGCGCCGGTCTTGAATTGCGCCTGGTCAGATGTACAGACGATGGCCATTCAGCCTACGAAGCTAAACGCTGACTTGTGTGCAGGATGGATCCAAAGTAGCAGGGTGCGGTGCCGACAAAACCTTCCGCCTCCTGGACCTTGGCTCTGGCAACACGACTCCCACGACCCTCGTCGCTCACGAACAGCCTGTCCGATGCTGCCGCTTTGCCACGATCAATAACTCTGCCGTCCTAATAACCGGTTCTTGGGACAAGACGGTCAAATACTGGGACCTACGGACGCCTAATCCCGTCGCAACGCTGCAATGTCAAGATCGAGTCTACTCCATGGACGTGAAGAATCAGTTGCTTGTCATCGGCACAGCGGATCGCTACATCAACATCGTTGGCTTCAACGACCCTTCGAAGTTTTACAAGACAGTCCAAAGTCCACTGAAATTCCAGACGAGGGTTGTTAGTTGCTTCACCGACGCGACAGGTTTTGCAGTGGGCAGTATCGAGGGTCGCTGCGCCATTCAATACGTCGAAGAGAAGTCCGCAGACAACAATTTCAGTTTTAAATGCCACCGAGATACACCAACGACAGGTCCCAATCGAGACGTCGCAAATGTCTACGCCGTCAATGCGATTTCTTTCCACCCCATCCACGGCACATTTTCAACTGCGGGAAGTGATGGCACATTCCACTTCTGGGATGGCAATGCGAAACACAGGCTGAAGGGATATCCCGCAGTGGGATCGCCAATAACGGCCACAGCCTTCAATCGACAGGGGACCGTGTTTGCATATGCAATGTGCTATGACTGGAGTCAGGGTTACCAAAAGAATACACCCCAAACGCCCAACAAGATCATGTTACATGGCGTGCAACCCGAAGAGGTGAAGCCGAGACCCGGTGGGAAGAAGAGATGATAAGCTCAGTGCTCAAGATCAGACAGTATTGATCTTACGTTGGCCCATGAACAACGAGCCGCGGCCTTCGAGGCTCAGGGCTGAAGGGGCGCAAGAGGCCAAGTGAAACGTAAATCAAAGCATCCGGAGGTACCAGGACGCGAACCACGATGAACCCTTCTCACTCCAGAAAGCCACAAATCCAAGGAGCAAATCGATTTCTGTTCTGCACCAGCATTGCAGGAATCAAGAGACGCAATTCCCACCTGGATCGTGCCACCTAGTTCAAACGATCGATAAGACTCTGACACGAATCCGGGAGAATGGACCTCGAAGCAAAGAACCCTGGGACTCTCCTTGTGAGCTCGTTTCATGTGTCATACCGGTAGACTTGCGCCGTGGGCTCGATAGACGGGGGTGGTGGCTGGAAGATCGAGACACATGAGACACTGTATGTAGCCGCGGATGTCGACGGCGAAACCGTGGAAATCGATTGATGAAGCACGATCAGGAGGCATGAACACGAGATCGAAGAATCCCGACCGCTCCACTGATAGAAGCATCTAATCAATTTCTGAAGTTTTGATACATTCCACGCCCATGCTATCATGTCAAGCTGTACCTTCTACACGTGAAAATGCTCTCTGCCCTGTTTTTCTCATTTGTTCTTCCGTGCCTGACCGAGAACGCGCACCGCTAATCCGATTGTCAGACCCTAACATTGTGATCGTGAAAAGTACGAAGCCCCATTCCAGATACGCCGGCCCGCTTACACATTGTAATCGACAACTTCATGCTTCGTGCTGTGCTGTGCTGTGCCTCGCCATGCCTTGCCATGCTATGCTGTTCCTGCGCCTCAACCAAGTGTAGTGCATTTTCCGACTAGGAATCACGTTGCTGATTCACTTCCATCTTCAACTTCCCAAATAGCAGATTAATCGGACAACCAGCCGCATGTCTTCACCTACAACTCCGAGTCTCCCCATGCCCTGTGGGACCCCGGTCTCTGCTGTAGACTCAGGCAAGCCTGGCTGTCATTGTCTCGATTGTCTCAGTTCCCGATCTTAAAAAAGTGTCAACTCTGCTGTCCCTTCTTTCGCCGGGTCTGAAGCACCGTGAGACTGGAAACATCCGGAAACTCAATTCATATCCATGCCATCTTCATCGTCGCCCTCGGTCTCCTCGGCCTCCCCGCTAGGTCTGTGACTCCGGCGGCGATACCTGCCCGGCGCACCAAGCATGCTCCCACCCTCGCCTTCTTCCATTTCATCTCCGTCCACGACACGGCCCTCCATGCCTACGACCTCGCAAAGCTCCATCAGGCTCGTGCGGCTGAGAGACCTGAAGCCCTCGGTGCGCACGATGCGGCCCCAATTCATCAGGCAGAACCGGGCAGCCCGGGCTTTGAGCCAGTCTTCCTCGGTGCGGCCGGCACGCTCCCAGATCACGGCCGCGTGCTCGATGTCAATTTCGCGGGACAGGCGGTTCACGCACAGGAGGCGCAGCTTCGGCATGTCGTAGAGGTTCGCCATAACGAGCATGCCGGCCACGTCTGTTAGGTCACGGCAGAATTCGGGGTGCGGGGCGATACTGTCGGTGTAAAGGTAGTAGAGGAACGCACGGACGACAGAATATGGTTCCGGGATGTGCAGACGGGAAGTCTGGTACTCGAGCATTTTGGATGCGTACAGGCGTTTGAAGTGTGGCCAGCGAGCTTGTAGGATCATTTTGTGCACATAGATGGGTTGGGAGACCGGGGAGTTCTCGGACACAAAGACTTGACTACTAGTCGTGTTAGTGGAGAAGCGGAGCTGGGAATCGGCTTCGGAGATGGCGTCATCGTCGTCTTCGGTGTTGTTGGCTGTGATGGTGAAGTCGCTCATGCTGCCGGATTCAGGGGCTTGGTCGAAGATGGTGGCGAGGTCGAAGCCAAGACCAGAAGCGACGCCCCCAACTGCGTGGGTTGTCTGGCGTTCGGAGGCAAGGATGCGGTTCTGCTCCGAGAGTGTGGCATCCAGGTTGCCCAGCAAGCCGTATCGCTTCAGGTCGACGGCCAGGACTTCACTCAATTGGAGCTCCTGGTTAGCGCCGGCGGTATCATCGCCAGGAGAGCCGAGGAGCCAGACCTTGGTGCCGTCCTCGTTGATGGTGCAATAATGCCATTTGTACCCCGGTTGGAATAGCTCAGGACCTTCTACCAACCTCTGCCACCTCAAAGAGTCCAGCTCTAGAGATGACAAGTTGCATTCGATATGACGGATCGTTGACGATGGAGTGATAAAGTCAAGTAGAGCTCCAGACGAGCAGACGTGGAAGTGGGTCCCCGAAGACTGTAGTGGGACATGCGGACCTGAAACGAACTTGAGTGTCGATATGGCACCCGGGGCAGTGGGCTTCTCCCGCCTGGTGGAGCGAATGTGGACGCTTCCTGAGTTTGCCGTGTATGTGTCAATCCGGTCAGCCCTGGTAGGGTGCAACCAGGGATCGTGTCTAGAAGAAGGAATCCGGCCGACGGTGGAGTACTGTCTGCCTGAACCCGATAGAGCAGGGCTTCCCTTGAGGTCCAACCAGCAAATCTCTGACGGGCGCTCCATATCCGCCCCGAGTCCACCGAGCACCCATAGTCGGCCACCCCATATCCATGCACTGTGATCAAACCTCTGGACAAATGACCATGTTTTTGACCACGTCCATGTCTTGAGATCCAAGTAGCAAATATCATCGAGTATGTAGTTCGCCTCGCCGGTCAGTCCACCAATGACGAACAACTTGTCTTCGTAGACAACGGCAGCATGTCGGGCTCGGCCTTTGGGGATGGGGCCTTGAACATCTGGTTGGGTCCAATGATGGTCTTTCAGGTTGAGTATGACCACATCCGACAGATACTCCCGATGTTCATTCTCTCCACCATAGACGAGCAGCTTGTCGCCTTCGTAGAGGGATGCTGAATGCCCCATACGGACTCCGGGAATGTCTCCATAATTATCCACTAGAGCCCAATTTAGCGTCTTGAGGTTTAGCCGCAGCACGTGATTGTAGACTTCATCCGTGAACTGGTCGAAACCGCCGAAAGCGTAGATCTGGTCATTTCCACAGTAGGTAACCGATGCATTGACGAGACAAGCTGGTTTCTGTCCGGTCGTCTTTGAAATCTTGGGTTTGGAGCCCTCCTTCATGCCGGCCGCATGCTTGGCCGGACTGGTGGGCATGAGATAGGTATTGCCAGTGGGAGTATTTGCGCCGGATCCCGAAGTTCGAGTCGAAGAGGTGAAATGCCACAGTGCAGCGGCGTTCGACGGTATGGATGAGTTCGGGGAAAGAAATGGTTGTGGAGTTAACGGTTGGGCCATCCCTGGGGCAGATAAATGCACGGCGTTTGCGGAGGAACGCTCGACACTAAAAGAGTGCGCAGTGGCCGGCTTTCATCAAAGGGACAATAAGGACCGGGGCCTGGAAGACCCTATCAACCTACACATGTGGTGGAAAGCAGACACAGGATCTCAGGGCTGGATGATTCTGCAATTCGGTCTGTGAAGAGTGACAGGGGAAGGGAGTGAGAGAGAACGAAGTGATCGACGGATGAAGTTTCACGTTGGCGCCAGCGTGTTCGGGGACGGAGTAACGATGTTCCGGGTGACCCAAATCTGTGGCTGATGCACGTCAGAGTGACACCCCCCGGGCGCCTCCAGCCCCGAAACGGCATAGTCTGGGTGGAGCCGTGGTTGCTGTGCAGCTGCACAGGCCAAACATCAGAAGTACTTCAGCTTCAACTTTGGTGGTTGAGGTCGAGATCTCTTCTTCTTCTCTACATACCACAACTCCTCTACCTCCTCCATTACCTCTTTCTCACTCTACGCACACATCCTTGCACGTGCATAGCATACAGTCCATTAGATCATACTTGCATCAGCTAGATTTGGTCGAACCCCCGACTGCATCGCCATCGCCGTGCACCATTGCTCGGTCATCCAATCAATCCAACAATATCAGCGACCACTGAGAGACATACTAACCACCAACCATTACCAACAGCTATCTCAGGATCCATTCAGTTGAGAATCTTGAGACCATCACTGAATTGCTGGATTCCAAGGCACAGATACATTCTCGACAAGTTCTGATTGCTTAATCGACAACCACTACTAACCCCTCCGAGGCCTTCATTGATTCTCGGTAGAACAGCAGACAGAGATCGAAACATTTAATTGTCCATTCGGTCAAAAATCACGACACATCAGACACAATGGCCACAGCGTCAACATTGTCTACACCTCTCAAGAGCCATCATGGCCTCTTCTCCTCAAAGACCGCAGGTGGCCGCATGCCACTAACGCCATCCCCCAGACAGAGAACCGTCAGCGTGTCCAATGTCTCGACAACCTCATCCCCCTCCACTCCGCTGCGGAAAGAGCAGTCCATCCACAAGTCAGATCCTACATTCTTCTCTAAGTCGATCTCAAGATCGGTGTCCAAGTTTGCGTATGCCAACTCGCCAAAGTCCAACATCGCAAAGTCACGTCAATCTCCCAAGCAGCTAGAGCTCGGCGTCTCGGACTGGACTCTCACTGGGACTGGGCCAGCCACAACTGCCACCCCGTCAAGAGAAAAATCAAGGAAGGAGACAGCATTGAGATCAAGAGTTGGAAAGACAACCATCAGACTTCCACACAACACCGCGGACAGATTCATTCCTAACCGGACTGCCAGTGCTGGTCTCGCAACTGCTGGCTGTGGCAAGCCTGATGAGAACACTCGACCTCGGACTGCGGATGGGTCCATAGTCCTTGCAAATGCTGCCAGTGCCAGTGCCTTTGATATCTCCGCTCGGGGTGCCGATACGGATATCGCCACGGCGCTGGAAGGTCTTGGTCTCGAAGATGACAATACTACCTCCTACACCCGGAGCAACCCTGACGCGACCGCTTATGAATCATCACTAGCATCTGCATGTGGAATTTCCACCAGTCAGCGCATCCTCGAGTTCAAGCCTGCTCCCCCCGAGTCCTCCAAGCCGATTGATCTTCGTTCACAGTACAACCGACCTCTCAAGCCAGCTAATGCTCAATCGGCACAGTTCCGTCGACGGATTCAGTCTGCACCGGAGCGAGTGCTGGATGCACCTGGCCTGGTGGATGACTACTACCTCAACCTGCTCGACTGGAGCTCGGGTAACCAGGTTGCTATTGGCTTGGAACGAAACGTTTACGTCTGGTCTGCCGACAGTGGCACAGTCAGTTGCCTATTGGAGACATCTCCCGATACATACATCAGCAGCGTCAAATGGTCGGGCGATGGCGCCTACGTTGGTGTGGGCCTTGGTTCCGGCGAGGTCCAGATCTGGGACGTTGAAGAAGGCACTAAGCTCCGAAGCATGTTCGGCCATGAAAGTCGGGTCGGTGTGATGGGATGGAACAAGCACACCTTGTCAACCGGGGCGCGAAGCGGTCTCGTCTTCAACCATGACGTGCGGATTGCTCAACACAAGGTTGCCGAGCTCGTCTCTCACACGTCAGAAGTCTGTGGCTTGGAATGGCGCAGTGACGGTGCGCAACTAGCGACGGGTGGAAATGATAACTTGGTCTCAATCTGGGACGCCCGCTCATTGGCCGCGCCCAAGTTCGCCAAAAAGAATCACCGCGCTGCTGTCAAGGCACTTAGCTGGTGCCCTTGGCAGTTGAACCTCCTAGCGACTGGGGGCGGCTCCTACGACCGACACATTCACTTCTGGAATACGACTACAGGAGCACGAGTCAACAGCATCGATACCGGATCACAAGTGACCAGCCTCAAGTGGAGCAACCACTACCGCGAACTGGTCAGCTCCAGTGGCTTCCCAGACAACTCATTGAGCATCTGGAGCTATCCCACCTTGGTCCGCAATGTGGAAATCCCAGCACACGAGACTCGGGTCCTGCACAGCTGTCTGAGCCCCGACGGACAGATGCTGGCAACGGCGGGTAAGTCGGCGAGAATTTTCCAACCTATGCGATCCGAGCTAACGAGCAATGCAGCGGCTGATGAAAGCCTAAAATTCTGGAAGGTCTTTGAACGCAAGGCAGGAGTCAGCGCGGCAGCGTCCAGAGAAGGCGGCGTCGGCAAGGGAGGAGCTATGGCGAAGCAAATGACCATCCGATAACATGCCCCGCAGGTCATCCGGGTTTGCGGTTCTGTTCTCGCATGGTGTTGGGGCGAAATGCACTTTGGAGTGAGGTCAATAATGATGATGAGGCTCTTTCTTCCTGGAGCGGGTCTGGATGTAGGGACGAGTCTCCTTGGATCCCGGCAATTCTCGTGCCGCAATGCTCGCAATCGACGAGCGTGCCTCGCACTAGTTGGTGCTACGGCTATGAGAAATCTTCATTCTGATGTGTTGTTCTCTTCCTGGCCTTTCCTTTCCCTTGACGTGCTCCCCAGCTCGTCGTGTTCCGTGGGTAGTCCAGCCAAGGCACTTTTGCATTGACCAGTCATCATTCGTTCCTAGTCGTTCAGCTGCAAGTAAGCGCTGAACCAGCTCGCGTGGGGATGTGATTGGCGGGCGGTCATCACCTCCAGCAGCCTCCCTGCGACCTCTTTGGCTCAGCTCCATCCTCCTTCTCCAATCTAGGTTCCATCCATTGCACCCGAGCCCGCCGGCGCCATATCACCCGCACCCTCTTTTCCCTTCAGTCGGCGCTTATCTTCTGTTCAACCCGCGCATTGTTCATCCACTCTGCCTTCAGATGCCGTCCTCTGTCGAATCACGCTCCGCCATCCTCTCCTCCGCCGGTGATCGTTCTGCACGCTTCTGCAGCTCTGTCTGCACCTCACGTCCCGTTCATCACTCAAGCTACTCTCCGTCGCGTGGCAGACTGGGGCATTTCCTCTGCAGTCCCTCCCCTACTGGTCCAAGTCACCTCCGTCCCCATCGTGGCTTTATCTGGGTCCAAGCTGCTGGATCAGAAATTCCCCGGCCGCCTGGCGACACTCCCCAACCAAGAATGAGTGGGCCGTCTGCCCTATTGCAGAATCTCGCATCCGCACCCGCAGTCTCAGTCCTCTGTCAAGTTCCGCTCTCCTGCCAGTCACAACGCTCCCTCGACGCGCTGCTCCTCCTGAAACCGCGGCGCCATCTGCCACAAGCGTAAAATCACACTGCGCCGTTCACCTCACAAGCTAGGCGCGGCGCGAGTCTGACTCGGTGAAGTCTGGCGTCTTGGATCCAAACCTCCGCCAGTTTTCGTTCCAACTGCCACATCGATATTGTCTTTGCAGCTATACTTCTAGTCCAGCACGGGCATAGCTGGCCATGCGGGCCTGACAATGCATGATTGCCCAAATCATATGCGAGACCCCAATACCCTGGCAGGCGGCCTGTTATGCCATCCGCGCACTCTGCACATCAGGCCCCCACCACGACCATCAGGTACCCATTTCCGCCCTCCAACTCCCCTCCTCTCCGAGAGCCTCTCTATTGACATACACTACCTTTCACCCGTATGCTCGTCTTCCAATTACTCTCAACCACGTTCTTCCCAGCTCGTTGCTTGCCGACTGCGTGCTCTCCCGCGTTTGCTTATCCATGATCTGGCGCGTTGTGGCCCCTTCCACTCCCCCCTCTATACCACCCTCCTCTACACTAACATCCCTGTGCCAACCTGCATTGCCGCACGCGACCGTTGCGGCGGCCGCAACAAATCCGTGCGACTGTTTGCGGCATCCACCAAAGGTCTGGCAGTCTAGCAGCGCTCTACAGTAGTCTGCCTTGTCCGTCGCACTCTGGTCCTCTGTTACGCCTTCTCTCTGACTCGCCCACCTGCAAACGAAAAGGCATCTTTCCATTTTGCTGCTGGCGCACATTGATCTCGCAATCGCCGTGGTCGAGTGTGCCGCAGGCCGTTGACGTCTGCAGAGATGATGGCTGTCAGGGCTCCTCTGGGGTTCAGTCCTTCGACAAACCCATTGTTCTCTCCATTTTCGCCCTTTGCAGACCATCCTGACTCGCCTCGGCCTCGAGCCAACGCAAACACGGGGCTCCCTATGTATGATAGATCTGCTTTCACTTGTGTGCAACATGTCTAACTTGACCCAGGTCCGGGACCGACAAGAGCCATACCGCGAATGACAACCAGCTCAAGCCCCCGCCTGCGAACTATATTACCTCGCCGCAGGACCCTGTAGCCCCTTCTCCCGTCGCTTCAGACGTCACCAACTTCGAGGACGTGGATGAAGAAGTAGAAGAGGAGGGAACAGAGCGAGGATCGGTGGCTGAGTTTGCGGCAGCATTCCATGCGCAACAAAGACCTCCGGTGACGTCCCCCTTAAAGGAGGGCTTGCAAAACATCACAACTCCGTTAAGAGTATGACAAAGTGATCGATATGTGATCTCTTGCTGATGCCACGTCTAGGTCGAGACGGGTGCTGTTCTGGACGAACAGTTCCGCACAAGGTTGGAAGAGGAGAAAGAGCCTCAGTCGGTCATCCACATACCAACTGGGTTTGGGAAATTTGTATATCACGCCTGTCTAGAGTCCTCCACGCCGTACTTACGCACTCATAGCCGAACCTAGAAGCCTCGCAGTCTCTCCCTAGACAACAGGAGCCGTCCCAGCCAGAGGCCGAACCTGAAGACAGCCAGACAACGGAGAGCAGAGAGCTTGAGAGGGCAAGAGCCGACTCTACCACCTCCAAAGCCTCCGAGGCAACTGTCACTAAACCGGCTCCGCCTGTCGCGAAACCAGCTGCTAGGGTGAGCTTTGAAGGCTGTCGTAGTGCTCACATTGGCCTGACCTCGACAGACTCATGACGGCCCCATGCCTCCGACCCCATTACAAACCAGCCTGCCTTCCTTTCCACTCCACGACTGGTCCCGGACCCCAAGAGCACAGACTCGACAAGATTTAGGTTCCTTGAGCCGTCCTGGCTCGAGCCTTGCCAGTAAGCATGACGTCGGACGCTGGTTCCAATGTGACTGACACATAGCAGGTATCCTCGAGGGTGACGACACCGATCATCCCAGCAGCGACGAGACAGGTGCCGAGAGTCACATAGGCCAACGATTCCTGCAGGACGCTGAAGCTGAAATCAATGCCCTGCGCAATGCTCTCTCTGAGTGTTGGACTCTCTGCAATACTCTGGCCAGCTTGAGCCACATCCATCGTGAGAGGATATTCAACTTCTCGGGTCGTGGTGACATGCAGGAACAAGCGTGGAAGTCGTGCTGGAAGCTGTGCCAAAATCTCTACGATACCAGGGACGATCACGCGTCACAAGCGTTTTCTCATAACTCTTCCCGACCTACCTTGGATCTGTGTCGTGATTTCTGTCAAGCCCTTTTTGAAGTCCGAGTCCGAGACAACGAGACGGCCGACTCGGTGCTCAGAGTCAGCTTCGAACTGAACAATCACCTATTCAACACTCATGACCGGAGTCTGCCCGAAGCATTTCGCGAAAGGACTCTGGATTTCTATATCACACTATGTCACCGGCTGATGAAACAGAAGTCGAAAATGGCCGACGAGACGGATTCCTTACTCCGAGCCTGCTGGTCGTTGGCCGAGATGCTGTTCAGTCTCCGGCAGAACCGGCGCGAAGGCAAACGACCCGACTCGGAACTCCTTGGATCAGCGATCCAAGCGTGTTGGGAGCTTTGCGACCTGTTCAGGGAAGGCTGGACCCAGATTCGCCCCGAAAGAGGGACCCCGAGACCAAGCCAGACCACCTTCACCCAGGCGTTCCATCAAGCTAAACGATCTGGATTTGCCCCCCTTGATGAGAACGGCAACCCTAGACTGCTTCCCGAGACACCTACCACTATCTTCGAGGACACCGTAACCACCATCTCGCCAGACGAAGCACCTATCCCCAACATTCTCGTCCTTGGGGCAGAGGAAGCTTCCAGGATGTCCTCCGCCTCGTCTACTTCTTCCACACCCGCACCGAATCAAAGCAGACAAATCTCCCCCAACCCTCCCACTCAACGTAATCCGCATTCTGCCAACCCTGCGATCAACCACAGATGGTCTTCAAGCTCCTCGGTACTTTCTCTTCCGGCGTCCGCCGTGTCGGAAGGCGGTCCAAACCCCGTGTCTGCTACTACGGTATCAACAGTCCGTACGCCGGGTGAAGATCCCACGCTCATTCTCTTGAAAACGCTGTTCGTGAAAGCTGCGATTGCGACCGGCCGAGGTTTCACGCGCCAGTCAGCGGATCCCAACGTGAACTCCTTACCCAATTTCGTCCGGAACTTACCAGACACGGCATTCGGCACACAAGCATGGCAGATTACTCTACTCGACAACTACCGGAAAACCGTGGGCAACGACTCGTCATTTCGCAACCTGGGCGTTGCAGGTACAATCGCCGAGCAAGGCCGTGTCAACGCCGTGGAACTTGCCCGAGCCGTGCGCGGCATGACCAGCTGTGTCTACGGCTTTGGCTGGCTTAGAGACCTCTACCGATTTGTGTTTGGGTATTATATCGAAGAGGCGCTCAAGGGCGCCAGCTCCCAGGTTACTGGCAGTCGAAGGGCGGTGCGGCAGCATGGCCCTGCGGCTAGTCTTGCTGCTGCGCTTATGAGCAATACTGCTCCTGCCTCGGCTGGTGGGGCGGGAGGCGCCAGCTCCGCAGGAGGGAATGCGGGTGCGAATGCTACTGGGAACGGAAATGGAAACGGAAATGCAAGCGGCAGTGGAAACGGTAATGGCAGTGGACATCCGCACGGAAGACGGACTACGAGTCAGTAAGTGAGTCGGACCTAGCACTTGCTTCGTTTCGTCTGGTCGTCTCCAGATCACTGTCGCGTTATTGCCTCACAGACTTGTCCGTGGCATATAGCTACGCACCATCCGTTCTGGCCAGACATAGAGTGGCCATCTCGCGCTCCACACGGGCAAGTGTGTTGCCTGTTGTCACGCATCATGATGGTATAGCGAGCATCGGCGTTGGGGGTGTATTGCCATCTTTTCAAAGTAATGGGCTTCAGATACCCATGTCACGTCTCCGAGCTGGATAAAGACCTTCCGGCATGGAAGTAGGGTGGTCCAAGTGAAGGCGTTGAATGCAGGAAACTGTCGTTCGCAATCCCCGCCGAAGGGCTTGTTGGTGCAGTCAAGCGAGTGCTCCTCTGCCCACTCCTTCTCACTGTCCACGCCTTTCTCAAGGGTAGTGTGAACTGGGCAGAATCAGTTCTCAGACAATGCCGCCTCGCCGCCGTGACCCCTGCTCATACCTGCGCTTCCTCCAAGCGCGTTCACCAATTCCGCTATTCAACCAAATCTCCGGAGTATCGCCGTACGTTGTCGGCGGCGCCGTCGTAGCGAGGCACAGACTGACTAAACCACCGATTGTGGCGGCCCCGGACAAACAAGCTAACCGGGGCTGACTGATCGATGCGTCAATCGAATCTCACGCCCTCGAGCCTCTTCAGCTGCCAAGGCACCTCGAACATGTCAATCTTCACGATCATCCCGATGCCACCACGGAAAGACCGTCTGTGGGAGTCTAGCTCCAGATCAAGAGCCGTTGTATAGTCTGTAAGGGCAGACGAGATGGTGCCCTCCATGAAGCCTCTCGCCAATCGCAGCAGGGCCATACGCTACCCCTTTCGGCTTTGACTTTGAACAGCTTGTCATTGCCCTGGATTGGAGTCCTTGGCGAGAGCCGCGAGGTCGATCCGAGCACGACAGCAAGCCGGTAAGCCATCTATACGACCGGCATCAATATGTCACAGGGAGAACGTCCCACGTCGAAAGTCATGTCTTGCACAACGGTCAGTGGTACCGCTTTGCCTCTCAATACAAAGGATGCCTTCCTCTGTGATGCTTCCAAGAACGCCGAACCCGAGCTGCGTCGCTGATGAAGTATGGCGAACCCCGAATTCTTGTTCCTTGTCAGGACGCCAGCTACGTATCCTGGATTGGGCAAGTCAAAGCCGAAACTGTTGACTTCCGAAGGACGTTCACACGCTGCAATGGCATATCACCGCAAAAGGATGTCGGAAGGGCAGCCCAAGGACCTTGAACACAACCGAAGCCGTCCTGTCAGAGCCCTCGTGCCGAAGTTCAAAAGTGGCGGGAATGACAGAACTGACGGGGCGCATCTCAAGACTTGGGTGACCACAGCAGAAGACGCTCACACAGTGCAGCAGCAATTGACACCTCTCTTCTATCCAGTCGATGTTCTTCCAGGCACACCGCACCGCAGTGTTTCCGGCTTTGCTGCGGCGGCCGAGTTTCGTAAGTGCTCAGGGGCAAAACGACAGCGATCTGCTAACAGGCAGCTGGGAGGTAGATCGCGCCATCGACCCAGCGTTTGTTCATGCTCCGGTCTTCCATATCTTCGACGTGAGCAACACGTTTGGAAAGGCAAGCTCTCTTCTACGTCTTCGCTGTCCACGTTGAACAGGACACATCAGCTGCTGGCTGCCATCCCGTCGCCAATCAACATCCTCTGGCCCCCAACCACTGACAGTCTGCACCAGTGCTACTACGAGCTGACGGCTCACGAAGTTGGCCTGCACGCGGGAATCGCTGTTGTCAACATGGTCAGGGATGTATTTCGGCCAGATTTTCGCGCCACCGGTCCGTCACCGCACGTGCTGCGATTGACGCAGGTAGCAATCTCCAAGCTGCGCCAGCATCTGTCGACGGCAGAGTGTCGAAAAGCAGGACGGCAGAACGGCTGTGAAAGTAATGACGCTGCAGTCATAGCGGCGGTCTTCCTCGGGCACATAGCTGTAAGTGGTACTGTATATTCCTTGACGCCAGTCCGACTCCCAACAGTGGCATAAAGCTGTTCATGGCGTGGCCGCGTCCGGGAGAATGCCTCGCTTACTGAAGTTACCGGGGCACTAGAATGGCTTCGGCGACGTTGACGCTTTTCACACGCACCGCCAGGGCATCAGGACAATGATCGACTCCCGCGGCGGTCTCGATACCCTGGGCCTGGACGGAATGGTGAAGTCCTCAGTCTTGCAGTATGTGGATCACTGGCTGACCGATCTATCCATTGCTACAGTATACTGCACTTTATACCCTAGACTCACAGATCGCTCTTCTGCAGGTTTGAATCTTGGTGGACACATCTGTACAACGACACCTCTGCCTTCGACTCGTACAAGCCAGCATACAACCCCACGTATCTCAGTCTTTCAGCATCGTCGTCCGCGAACGAGCTCTCGCGGCTTTCTCGGCTCCCACCGGGGTTCCGCCAGCTTGCACGGGCGGGTAAGATTGCAACAGACATTCTTGATGTCCTTTCCAATATCGTCTCGTACGGCGAGAGCACCAAAGCCATCGACATCACATACAATGGATCGGGCAACACCACACCCGATGGATCGAGCAACTCTATGCGCGACGGACCTCGACAATCTCCCCGGATCCGAACGCACGTCCACATACCCTCTCCAGCCGTGCTACGCGCCAAGAAACGCCACCACGACTTCTGGCAAGCATGTTCCTGTCTCCTGGTGTCTGGGCCACACTTTGAGAAATACCTCGTGTTCGCGCTGCTTTTGTTCGCAAGCACGGCATTCGCCCCAGGGGACAACGGCCGACGATACCTGGCCTGCAGCCACACGGCGTTTAGGACGCCACGGGCGTGTCTGACGAGGGAATTACCATTGTATGAGCTCTCTGATGATCTGTCCTGGGTTTCACCGCCACATGGGGTGGGCTCGGCACCGACAGATCAGAATCAAAGGCCCGTAAAGGAGACGATGCAAGAGTGTCTCTTTTGGATGTGGCTTGTTCTGATAGACAGCTGGAGGGCCACTGATGGGGATGAGTCAAGAGAAGCACAGAAACTGCAGGACATGCTTGGGCGGAAATTCGGACCGTATGCCGAGTGGGAGAGCGTTGGTGCTGTGCTCGGCCGGTTCTTCTGCACTGAAGATATGATCTGTAGTTTGGGGAATTGCTGGGGAGGTTCAGGCCCGAAGTAGCCTCTGTCTCTGTCTCTGTCTCTGTCTCTGTCTCTGCGCTCGAGCGAGAAAGTCAGGAGGAGGAAGACCGAGACTTACCCAGTATCCCTAAGTGTAGAGGTTCTCTTGCGATCGGATCATCAGGGTGATTCGATTCAGATCTAATCCATCTATCTACTGTAGCAGGAAAGGCATAAGATAGTGTACTTAAGTGAACGCCCGTCCTCTCGGAAAAGGGAGCCCATGTCCGGTTCTCCGGACTAGGCATCTTTAACAGGGCCGTGGTGTGGTACAGCACAGTAGATGATGAGAGTAGAGTAGAGTATGTAGAATAGGGTAGAGTAGAGCATAGTAGAGTAGAGTAGAGCAGAGTAAAGTACAGCAGAGTAAAGCATAGTAGAATAGAGTAGAGTATAGCAGAGTAAAGCAGAGCAGAGTGAAATCCTCCAGGGCACGCTTCCCACTTCGCACACTGCCCAACATGTCTTCTGCAGTTCCTGTATGCGTTGTTGATGCTGCAATTCCGCCGTTAGAGGGGGCGTTCAACGTACTGTACTTTGTACATTGGTTTTCATCTATACTCTACACCCTACATCGATGTTGGACATTCGACACTCGACATCTACACTCAATATGCATAGAGCGAGCAATGTACGTGCGTATACGTATGCGTAGTGGCCATTCGTAGATCAATGTATGGCATGCAAGTACGTAAGCCACTTCATCTTCATCTCCGTCTTCAATCTTCGTCTTCGTCTTCGTCTTCATCTCCGTCCTCACCTTCATCCTCATCTTCGTCTCCATCTCTATCTACATCCACGGCCACAGTCAAACACACCGATCGTGCCCTTGGTTCACGTCGAGGATTGTATTTTCAATTTCCTATCAGCTACTTAGCTGCCTGAACCAGAAGTCTAGACTATGGAGGGATGATCCTGGCGTTTCAGTTTCGGCACGATTGGCTCTGCAGGACAGCAGGGCGAGACAGGCGAGGCGACGCCAACGCCAACGCCAACAGGACACAGCAGAGGCACTTCTACCGTACGTGGAAGATGAGACTATCATCCTGCCGTAGGGATGAGAGCAAGGCTGAGAACATCGCCAATGTGCTGGGGTCCATCCAAGCAAGGCTCGTGGACACTGTTGCAACGCAATGCAATGCATTTCACGAGCAGCTCACGGAGTGACAGTTGGGTCCGCTCCTCACCACTCCCACCGCCATGCCAATGACATGCTTGGGATGAGACAACCGCAGCGTCAGCGGAGATAAAATCCACTCTAATATATAGATTTTGTTCAGAGATGGCCAGTAGGTGCACTGCCCCCCCGGGGGATCCACCCCGGGACGTCTTGGGACTTTGCAGTACGTAGTAAGTACCTCGCCTCCCGCCTGACGCGATAATATATCTGTTTCATGGGATCGTTCTGTCGTCCGCGACCACTCACTCGGAGGAGGCGACCAAGCTGCCAACCTCCTCGGGAGGTAATTACCTTCCATCTTCGAACATGAGAGCAACCGTCAGTAGATCTACTCGCCTGGCAGACAAGAACGGAATGCCCTGGAGTTCCGATATCCTTCGTGTCCTGGTAGAGGCAATACACCATGGATGGGACGGGGATGAAGACGAAGTTGACGACCGGGAAGACGACGAGAGTCCACCGCCACTCATGTCTCGAAACGAACTGGGCGTGTTCTTCACGACCACGACCACGACCACGACCATCCAATTCCACGTGCTGGAAGTGACCATGCACCCTTGTGCCGTAGCGGGGTATCTCGTCGTGTTGATCTTCGATGGATAGAATCAAGGCACGGGCAACCATCCGACGTCATAGACCAGCTGAGAGACAAGGATAGAGGCCGCGGCGGCGGTAAGAGGTGGCCTTGGATCCGACGGAACAGGATAATCCAGGCCATGACGAAGCAAAGGCACAGGGCCTGCCCTCGCTGTCATGAGTGAATTAAGTTGCGTCGGCGCAAGCGGTTCATCCCGGCGAGGGACAGCGCCAGGACAGCGCCAGGACAGCGCCAGGACAGCGCCAGGACAGCGCCGGAACATCGAGATATATGCATCCGCTTAGGATGAGGGACACGTGGCCCGACAGCTTCATCTCGTTCTAGTGTGTGTCGGGGACGTGGTAGATGAGCACGTTGAATCCGGAGAGTTGCTGGCCGGCTTGGATCGAGATGGTGACGAGCAGGCGGCGCAGTCTTCGTCTTGTGCAAGGAGAACAACTCCCTCGAACGGGACGCCCGGCCTTTATGTTCCTCCGCGGCGGCGGCGACGACGCCGACGAAGTAGGTGATCAGGGAGCCAGCAGCACAGCCAAGTGGTGGGTGCCGAGTATACGTGATTTACAGCCTATCCATGTGCAAACAGTACAATACGCTCCTGCTTGTGTGATGCGACGGGCTCAGCGCATCCAAAGCTGGGAACTTACATCGTAAAGCGCGGTGTTATCTCCTCGTACTCGCATGTCAGCCATCTGGGCGGTTTGAATTCGACACCGGACTTATCGCTCGCTTCGATGATACATTACCCACGGCTCCTGGTCAGTAATTAGTGCTCGTGGTAGTGGTGTTGGGCTCCATCTTCTCCTCTCAGTGGCACAATAATTAGGGTGTCGATGATAGGCAGACCTTGATTGATCGTATCTCGACAACAAAACCGCCTGGCTTGGATGTGGCAGTCGCTGCGAAGTCGTTAGTAGCAGTAAAGCTATAGTATGCTTCCAAAGACACCTGCCGTGCTGTCGAGGTAATTATTCGATCCAATCAATTCATGCAGCTCGTTATCCCGAATGGCTGTCGCTTGCTCGCCAGCCGGCACTGTTGCGCGCGAGATACACATGGACAGTAACTATTCATTCATCAGAGCGAGAGAAGCTTCAAGAGCCAAGTAAGTCATGTCGAACTTGATCTTGAATTTGAACGTCCGGAAACATTGGCATTGAATCAATTGGCTCTTCCACATAAAGAGCCGGAATATGCTCCCACGAACATCCTATATCCACGGGGAAAACATTGTGCAAGGATGGGGATTTCATCTGGCCAGCCAGCCAGCCAGCCTGGCATGGATCTCGCGGAAGAGTCGAGCGAAGTGGCTGCAAAGTATACTTACAGTGATCGTACTCGTTGAGCCCACAGGAGGTGCGTCGAACCGGGACATCGGGCACCTACCGACCACTTCCTCGCAGCTCGATTCGCTGACGAGATCGAGGTCGATCTCGAAGGCTTCTGCCCACCGTGGCACAGCTGAGAGCAACGCGTCAGTGGGACGAGATCCGAGATCGGAAAGACAACACTGAGTGTTACAACCAAGGCAGAACCACTTAGTCTTCCCTCCACCCACGGCGTGCTCAGATATCATGAATATGCAATATGCTCTCATTGTTTGGAAAAAAGTCTCATACTGGGTATGGTATGATGGTAGGGGGATGCTGAGGTAGATGGATAGCCCTCAGGCCCGTAGATGGCAGCCTTGAATCTCCTTTAATTTTGTGCTTCTTCGTGTGTGTGTGTGCGCAAGCGGCCGTCGGCAACGTCTATGGCCACGCTTCACCTCCCAACCAGGTCTATGTGCTCTCACTCAGATTTCTTTCCTTCTGCTTCACTCTCACATCTCTCTCTGCCTTTCGCCCTTTGTGCCGCTCTGCTTCTCGATTGATGTCCACCCTCGCTTCGCTCCAAATGCTCCGGTCGTTCAGCTAGTCGGTCGGGTACGTAAGAAAGCGTCATGTTCGCCTCCCCTCCCACCAAGAAAGTTTGCCGTCCTGGATTTTCCTGGTTGGAGGCGAGACAACTAAGATCGTGTCGACGTGTGTCATGAGTAAAAGCAAGATTCGAGATGCCTTGTCAACAAAACGCCGGATATGAAACCGTCAGAAGGGAGTCCCGTGTACGATCCCCAGCCATGGTCGTGCAACCTGTTGCAAATTGAAAATTCGTCCATTTGCCTAGCGTCCTTGTTTTGATCAAGTGTCCGGTGGCTCTTGCGTCTGCGAATCTGTGCGTGCAAACTTGCAGTAACTGGTCGTCGTTCGGTAGGTCGTGAAACGCCAAAAGGGCGTGGATGATTCGATGCAATTGTCAAAAAAAAGGGTCAAAGCATAGCAGCCTCGGTGGTATCGTTAACATGATGGGGACTTATTCCAGGTGCTGAACATGATGAAAGCGTATGAAGCACGTGAAGGATGCAGGGTGATGTCATCGGAAAAGACTGTTTGAGCGTCGCTAGAGCTCCATCCAGGAGTTAGATTCAACAGGTAAGGAAAGAAAGGGAAAATTCGAGCTAATTTGCTCTGGTGCTTGGTTTTCGGTGCCGAGATTCTACGCAACCGCGGCAGCAGTGGCAGCAGCCTCGGTGGCATCGGTGGCAGGAGCAGTGGGAGCACTATCAGCTGGAGCTCCGTTGGTGACTGGCGCGGCCGGACCATTGGCTTCAGCGTTCTGAGGACAGTCCTTGCTGATGTGACCGGGTTGGCCGCACTTGTAGCAGGTCTTGCCTGCAGCGTTCAATGGCCCGCCATTTGGAGCTGTACAATCACGAGAGATGTGGCCCTTAAGAAATAGTCAATCAAACGTCTGGGACACAGATTGCAGTGTACATACGAGTTTCCCACAAGCATAGCATTTCATAGCCTGAGCTTGGCAATCTCGAGCATAGTGGTTGGGTCCACCGCATTTATAGCATGTCGCCGCCCGGTTGGTGGTCACACCGTAGCCTGGGCGGAAGCCACCATACCCCCCACGACCACGACCGACCGGTGGTCCCTGGATATTGGGAGTGGGGCAGTTGCGAGCTAAGTGACCAATCTGCCCGCAAGAGTAGCATCGACCTCCAGTGGGGCCACCGTTGATGCGCAGGGTAGGGCAATCAGCCTGGACGTGGCCAAGTCCCTGGCAATGGTAGCATTGTTTTGCTGCCGCAGTCTCGGTTAGCTTCTGGATCTTTGACATACGGCTAACATGTCACTCACTTTCGGTTGTGCGCGGCAAAGGGCACTGATTGGATTCATGG